CACTTCCACCCGCTCTTCCTGCGGGGAAGGCATGTTCTGGTGCGATCAGACAACACGCCGGTTGTTTTTCACATCAACCATCAAGGGGGAACACGGTCGATGACATTACTGAGGCTGAATCAGAAGCCTGGGCAGCCCCTCTTTTTGCCAGCCTGAGGGCGGCCCACATCCTAGGGGTGTAGAATGTTCCTGCCGACATCCTATCTCGGGGCGTCCACCACCGAGGCTCCACCCAGATGTAGTGGGGACTATTTGGGAGAGGTTCGGAAGAGCAGCCGTAGATTTATTAGCCTCCCGAGAGACGTCACATTGCCCGCTTTTTTTCTCCCTGGCAGACAATACCAATCCCCTAGGTCAGGACGAGCTGTCACAAGACTGGCTGAGGGCACTGCTCTATGCATTCCCGCCACTTCCCCCGATATGTCCAACACTCCTGAGGGTCGTAAGGAGGGGCATTAGCTCCTTCTGGTGGCCCCCCAGTGGCCAGGGAGGACTTGGTTTCCACTGCTGCAAAGGCTCTGTTGCAGCTCTCCAATGCCTCTTCCCCATAGGAAGGTCCTTCTGTCACAGCTGGGGGGTTAGATCCTGTATCCCAATCCCAGTCGTCTCCAACTATGGGTCTGGCGTTTCCTTCTCAGAGTATGGTGGGGACATCAGGCACACGATGACTAATGCCAGGGCCCCTTCCATGCGACTGGTGTACGCCCATAAGTGGTAGGCTTTTAGCCGCTGGTGTCAGGGAAGAAATGAGGACCCTGTACACTGTCCTATTTCTGTTATTTTAACCTTCCTTCAAGCGCTTCTCAAGGTCGTTCTCCATCCACTCTGAAATTCTATGTTGCTGCCATCTCTTGCTGGCATTCGATGGTGAGTGGGGAAACAGTGGGTCGTAACAAGGACGTTTCCTTGTTTCTGAGAGGTGCCCGACATTTGCACCCTCCCACACGCCCTGTTGTGCAGGTGTGGGACCTCTCTCTTGTCCTCACTTCCCTGCGCTCTCATCCTTTTGAACCATATGGCCTCGGCGAAACGGGTGGGTGAACTACATGCCTTGTCTGTTCACGAGTCCTGCTGCCGTTGGAACCCGGCTGGTTCAGGTGTTACTCTTTGGCCTGATGCGGCATTTCTTCATCCGCGAGCCACACTGTGCCCCTCGAGCTTGCTTGCCTTGAAGCGGATGGGCCTGATGAGCTTCACTGACCTGTTCGGGCACTGAAGGCATATGTCAGTCTCACAGCTTCTCTCCGGCAGTCGGATAGTCTGTTTGTTTGCTACGCAGCACTGCAAAAACGATCTAGAAATAAGTAAAAAAAATCTTAAATTAAGTGTATTCACCCTTAATTTGAGTAGGTAAATGAGATAGTTTGCCAATGGAATGAGTAATTTTACTCTTAAAATAAGATAATTAGATAATATGCACTTGAAATAAGACAATGCAATTGTGTTTTCTTATTTTAAGTGTAAATTGTCTTGTTCCATTGGCAAAATGTCTCTTTTACCTCCTCAATTCAAGAACAAATGCACTTATTTTAAGAAAAAATTACTTATCTAGATTTAGATTTTTTGCAGTGCAGGGCCCTGCAAGGGGCAGGCCCTTTCTAAACAGCGCCTTGCGCGTTGAATAGTGGATGTAGTGGAACAAGCGTACATCCGGCAGGGCCACCAACCCCCCGCTGATGTACAGTGCCATTCCACCAGGAGCATTAGTGTTTCATGGGCCACTATCACTGGTGTCACTCTGGAGACTATTTGTTCGACAGCCTCTTGGTCATCCCGGAATACCTTTGCTAGGTTTTACAGGGTTAACTTGGCTGCCCCTCACCCAATGCAGGGGATCCTGTCCCAGTGCGCACAATGTTTCCAGTGAGGTGGGCATGTTTTGGTTAATTGTTTCTGTGTGTGATTCCTCAGGATTCCTCATGCCTGTATTCTATGCAATGGGTTAGCGTCATCACGTACATACACGTCTCAAGTACCCACACCTGCAACAAATCATTCATCACCTCAGAGGAGCATATGACCAGCTGACTGTCATCACCTCTTCGCCAGAGTGTTTGCCTGTTTTGGGTACTCTAGCCCCTCAGAGCATTTTGCTGAGTTTATCTTGAACTTTACTAGTGAATTCATGCTCTTACCTTTTGTTTCTTGTAAATATTTGGCAGGAAGCCTTCAGAGGAGGAAAACCTGGAGGAAAACCTCTCGAGACGCCAAGAGTTCCACAACTCTCTTCTGAGCTCAGACCCCATCATAGTCCTGTTGACAGTCAGCTCCGCTACTACTCTGTGGTTCCATAAACCTACCTGTCCACCCTGCAACGCCACATCCACCACAAAACCAGCCAAGGCCCCCACAACTGGAACCACATGCCACCCTCTAATTCTGGCAGCAAGTTCAAATAAGAAAAGAGCATTCAGTCATCTACTTTTCCCCACCAACCCTGATCTCACCTTTTCTCTCGCTCCTTTTGTGCAGTTGCACCTGGTTACCTGGCCGCATGTCCCACCAAGCTGTGTTAACCAGATTGCTGTTTTTTTTTTTTTGTTTAACTGAAAATAAACATTCTAACTTTTACAATCTCTCTGTGAGCCTTTCTGCATGTGGGCAAAAAATACTAGACCCCCCCCGTTTAAGGTTGTTTTTTCTTTCTTAACATAGATGGCTTCCTTCACGTCCCTCTCAAACCACCTGTCTTCTTTGTCCAAAATGTGAACATTCTGGTCCTCCAAAGAATGTCCTTTGTCCATAAGGTGTAGATGTACCTCAGAGTCTTGTCCAGAGGAGGGCGCTCTTGCGCACGTGGAGAGGTTGTTTGGTGCATCCTAAAGACAAAACCCCCAGACCAAATATGAGCAGAGTGCTATATGCAGGTCAATGAAGTGAGGAATGCTCTGATCTTTATATTGGAGAAACCAGTCTCTGTTTAAGGGTCTTTTTAGGTTTGAAATGTTATGGAATTTTGTGTTTGGAGAAAACCCTCTTAAGTTTTTCAGACTCCAGCCACATATGGGAATGCAATGTTTTTGCTTTTAAAGTCACATGTTTGGTTGTGACCAGTTTTTCAGAGGCATCTTGCTAACCAGTTAGCAACTTAGTGCTAGTAGGTTCCCAATGGGAAATTCCATTGGGACCAAGTAGCACTAAATTGGTGACTTAGAAACGACACTGTCAAGGAACGCTATGGACAGCGGAAACATGCAAGAGGAGGAGAGTTTAGTGTTCGAGGTCGTGGATGAGTCTCCTTCATCATCCATTTTTTATTTAGAGGAGGAAAGCGGGATGAAGATGTTGTGGAAGAGGACGCCATAATGAACTTTTTGAAGAGTTTCAGTCTGGCTTTAGAGCTCATCATAGCACTGAAACAGCTCTGGTGAAAGTCCCTAATGATATTCTCATGGCCTCAGATAATGGATTTACATCTGTGCTCGTCCTATTAGATCTCAGTGCTGTCATGATGGGTCTAGTATTTTTTGCCCACATGCAGAAACGTTCACAGAGAGACTGTAAAAGTTAGAATGTTTATTTTCAGTTAAACCATCTGTGCTCGTCCTGTTGGATCTCAGTGCTGCATCTGATACAGTTGACCATAATATTCTTTTAGTAAGACTTGAATATTTTGTTGGAATTAAAGGAACAGCTTTAGACTGGTTTAAATCTTATCTATCTGATCGATTTCAGTTTGTTCACATTAATGACAAATCTTCCTCATTGTTGTTGGTTTTGATAGATCACAGACATGTCTTGAAGACATAAAAACCTGGATGACTCTTAACTTTCTGCTCCTGAAGGCAGACAAAACAGAAGTTATAATCTTTGGACTAGAGTCTTTGAAAAAGAAGCTGTTTAGTCAGTCACCTCATTTGGATGGGATTAAACTGATTTCAGATAATAAAGTAAAAAATCTTGGTTTCGTTTTTGATCAGGACCTGTCATTTAAATCCCATATCAACAAGGTTTCTAGAATTTCCTTCTTTCATCTGCGGAATATGCAAAAATGAGAAATCTCCTGTCCAGGGGTGATGCTGAGAAACTAGTCCATGCATTTGTTACTTCAAGGCTGGACTATTGTAATTCTTTACTATCAGGAAGTCCACAAACTGTAGTTAAAAGTCTTCAGCTGATCCAAAATGCTGCAGCCAGAGTTCTGATGAAAATGAAAAAGAGAGATTGTATCTCTCATATCCTGGCTTCTCTTCATTGGCTCCCTGTTAAATCCAGAATGGAATTTAAAATCATCCTTCTCACATATAAAGCCTTAAATGGCCAAGCTCCATCTGATATCAGAGATCTGATTGTTCCTTATGTTCCTAACAGAGCACTTCACTCTCAATCTGCAGGTTTACTAGTGGTTCCTAGAATTTCTAAAAGTAGTTATCAGGTTCCTGTCCTGTGGAACCAACTACCAGTTTTCTGTGTCTGCTTCTGTCTCCTTGAACCACAGTCAGCCTCACACTGAGCCTGGTTCTGCTAGAGGTTTTTAAAAGGGAGTTTTTCCTCTCCACTGTCACTACAAGCATGCTTAGTGTGAGGGATTACTAAAGAGTCAATGAGTCGTGCAATCAATTGTTTTTTCTTAAATAAACAACTTTGAATCAATCTGACTGGATGATCTGGCGAACTGGAAAGTGACCTGAGATGACATCCATCCATCCATCCATCCATCCATCCATCTTCTTACATGCTTAATCCCAAGTGGGGTCGCGAGGGGTGCCGCCGTGCCGGTGCCTATCTCCAGCTGTCCACGGGTGAGGCACGGGGTTGCCAGACCTTGAGATGACATGTATTGTGAATTGGCACTATATAAATAAACTGAATTGAATTGATATATGATTGGCTGATATATATGATACTATCAGCAGTAATAAATTAATAACGTGGCCTTTGGTCGGGCAAAAAGTTCTAATTTCTAAAATTTTTAAATGATATGTTTAAATCTGCTTCAGCAGAAAAGATATGTTTTTTATTATGAGACATTTTCTGACAACACCAGAGATGAACCTCGGTTTATTTTTCTGCATGTATTCTTTTTATTATATGTATGTGAAAGGACAAAATACCTTAATATTAAGTAGTGAATAAAACAATGATTGGTCAAATGAATTCTGATTCACACTTAAGCACACAGTGACTTCTATGAAAAACAATGACCAAACTACTGAAATGTCTACCGTAGGTCCGAACTGAAAAATCAGTGCTGCAGTAATCTGTACATGTGGATTGAATTACTAAAAAAAAAAACAATTCCAGACTAGGACAAACATAGTTCACAAGTTTACCTCCAGTTTGACAACTTTCTTAGTTATGAATGACGTGAAAAAATATGCCAGATCAAGGTTTATGGGTCAGTTTCACCAGTTCTCGGCCTAAGTTAGTTTGTTGCATCGCCTCCATCAAACTTAAACGCAGCGTGGATGGGTCTCTGGTTTGAAGGAGGTCTGCGTCCTGTTCCTTCACATCGGTATCAGTTCTTATCCCAGTATATCCAGATATACGGGTGTGGATTTCATCAGTGCCTGAAGCTTGTTTTGAATGTCTTTAATGATGAGGCGCTGCTGTGGCTCCCGCTGCCAGCAGCCCAACATGATATCATAGACTTCCTTAGGACAGATTCTTGGGCGTTCCAGGACTCTGCCCTGAGTAATGCATTCAATAACCTGGAAAAAAACAAAAAATGAGGTGAAAAAAGAGATAAATACTGAAGAGAAACATCCTGTGTCAGACATAGTCAAATAAGAGCAATGACTCGTAAGACAAAAAGTGGATGAACCCATTTATTTTACACTGCAGCCAATAGAAACGTGTGTCTTGTACCTCATTGTTGGCTAGCTGAAACCATGGCTGTTTGCCGTAGGTGAAGATCTCCCAGAGAATAACTCCAAAGCTCCACACATCACTCTCTGTGCTGAACTTCCTGTACATGATGCTCTCTGGGGGCATCCAACGAATAGGGAGCATGGTGTGACCTCCAACCTGCACAGCAAACAGGAATCAACATCAATCATCAACGTAAAATCAATAAACCCAGGCGTGTTTGATCGGAGCTGTCAGAGATTACAGCTGACTTTAAAAAAAACAGATGTTTGTAGTTCCAACCCCAAGGTTTGTTCTGGTTTGTCTCTGATCTCTGCACCTCATCTGGTTTTACTTTTTCTGGTCATTTTCTCTTAATTGAAACCTTTCATATCGACACGCTCCTCTCGTGCAGCTTTGGTCCTGAAGCTCAACTTTATAAAGCCGCTGTCACACCTTCACCAGCGTATTGGCTGCCGTAGAAAAACTGTGGCAAAAACACTGGCATAAGTTGGATAGTTATGGGTGTGCTGAAGCAACCTGAAACATGCCGGCACACCTTGGCAAAATTGCCAGCATCTGCCATCCATGGGCCGTCAGTTCCAGGTCAGTTCTCTGATGGTCGACATCCGTTTAGTGTCAGTTCCTCATCAGTCGTGGCGTCTAGCTTATCCTAAACCTCTGATTAACTTGTGCATAACTTCTGCGTAACTTATCAAGAACTTCTCTCCAACGCATATCAACGTATCTGACGTGTTCCAGACGAGCGCTGAACGTGTTTCTAACTTCCAGCTACTGTATAATGGCGCATTGGCAGCGTTTTGGTATAAAGGGGGTTCACAGGAGGAAACCGTCAGTTCTCCTCCAAACTTCATCCCCATCATAGGGTGAGCCAGAAGGTGAGGGTGATGGATCCTCCCTGCGTTCACGCCCACCACCAACAAACTTCCTAGCAGACATGATGCTCAATCTGCTGCCACCAAAAACCTGCTTTATTTCTTTTTATTCTTTTTTTGCAGGTGGGTGGCATCAGGGGAGCAGCTTTAACTGATTCCCACGAAATGATGCTTATGCATCGTATCATATGCAGAGGTTAGGCTGTCATTGGACAGAAGTTTTGGACTCGGTAGGAATACTCTATGTATACAGCAAAAAAATACATAGAAAGTTCAGCGTATGCGTAAGCGTTTTAGGAGATTCTGTGACATCAGGCATACGGTGGCTAGATGTGAAAGGTGATAGGGCCCTAACATCCTTAGGAGACCTGATAAAGTGCGCTCACACGGCTATCAGTCATTTAACATTTTGATTATTTTTACTGCAGCACAGTATGATGAGTCACGAACTAAAGCCTTAATAAAAGTCAAAGTACACATCACTAAAAAACTTCGTCCAGTATCTGTTTATTCAAGTACTAAACTCAGGAACTACTTAAGCTAATTTATACTCAGAAACCAGGTGGTCTGCTCGTGAGTCGCAGTGAACAAAGATATGCCCCGCCCCTTCCACAGACACTCTGCTGCACCTCTCGAAAACTGTACGTGACTGTAGACAGTGCCGCAGATAGGAGGCCTCTGATTGGTCAAATCTCCATCCGCTGTACATTATGCATATTTCCTGTTTGGTTCCTTACCGGCTTGTTTTGTTTGTCTGACCGCCATTGATGAAAACGACTGGTGAAAATGGAGCAGCTAGAAGAGCAAGGTGCACGAGATTTCTCATTTTTGCAATATTCCGCAAATGAAAGAAGGGAATTCTAGAAACCTCTTTGATATGGGATTTAAATGACAGGTCCTGATCAAAAACGAAACCAAGATTTTTTACTTCATTATCTGAAATCAGTTTAATCCCATCCAAATGAAGTGACTGGCTAATCAGCTTCTTTTTCAAAGACTGGTCCAAAGACTATAACTTCTGTTTTGTCTGCATTCAGAAGGAGAAAGTTAAGAGTCATCCAGGTTTTTATGTCTTCAAGACATGCCTGTAATCTATGTAATGGGTTAGCTTCATCTGGATTTATAGACAGATATAGCTGGGTATCATCAGCATAACAGTGAAAATTAATCCCATGCTGTCTAATAATTCTACCGATTGGGAGCATATATAAAATAAAGCGAATTGGTCCTAGTACTGATCCCTGCGGTACTCCACATGTAACCTTTGAGCATGAGGAAGATTTATTATTAACATGAACAAACTGAAATCGATCTGATGGATTTATACCAGTCTAGAGCTGCTCCTTTAATTCCAACAAAATATTCAAGTCTTTCTAAAAGAATATTATCAACTGGATCAAATGCAGCACCGAGATCCAACAGGACAAGCACAGATACAAGTCCATTATCTGAGGCCATGAGAATATCATTAGTGACTTTCACCAGAGCTGTTTCAGTGCTATGATGAGCTCTAAAGCCAGACTGAAACTCTTCAAAAAGTTCATTATGGTGGAAGTGATCGCACACTTGTTTGGCAACTATTTTCTCAAGAATTTTAGATAACAAAGGAAGATTGGTTATAGGTCTATAATTGACCAAGTCATCTGGGTCAAGAGACGGTTTCTAAAGCAAAGGTTTAATTCCAGCAACCTTAAAAGCCTTTGGTACATATCCCTGTAACAGAGATAGATTAATCACATCTAAAATGGAGGAGGAGATCAAAGGGAATACCTCCTTAAATAACCTGATTGGAACTGGATCTAATATCCAAGTTGATGGCTTAGATCAAAACAATAGTTTTGCTAACTCTGAAAGTTCAACTGGATCAAAGCAGTCTAAACCCGGTTCAGATTCCATGACTACCTCAGATGCTGCCCCACCCTCCAGAGACAAACCAATCACGGATAGAGGAGTGCTAATGATCTTTTTTTAATAAGATGAATCTTATTTATAAAGAATCCCATAAAATCATTGCTGCTAAGAGCAGGTGGAATGAACGGTTCAACAGAGGTATGGCTCTGGGTGAGTTTGGCAACTGTATTAAAACAATATCTAGGATAATTCTTATTCTCTATTAATGAGGAGAAATATGCTGCTCTTGCTTTACAAAGGATCCTCTTATACAGCAGTAAACAATTTTTCCAGACTAGGTAGGATTCCCGTAGGCCTGTGGAGTGATATTTTCTCTCCAGTTTCCTAGCATTTTGCTTCAAAGTACGCAGCTCTGCATTAAATCAAGGAGCCAGCTTTCTATTTTTAACGGTTTTCATTTTTAAAGGAGCTGCGTTGTCTAAGGCAGCACGCAGAGAACTAGCAACCCCATCAACAAAATCATCAACCTGTGAAGGGGAATAAGCTAAGCTTTTGCACTCTGCAGCACTGCTCAGCGACAAAGAGGATAGAGAAAGTGAAGCAGATTCTTTAAAATGTATAACTGCACTTTCTGATCAAGATATGCTAAAGTGAAACCTTCTTTTGGGGTAAGAAAACTCTGTTAAAGTAATCCTGTCGGTTATTAAAAAGTGGTCAGAGAGGACAGGGTTCTGAGGAAATACTGTTATTTCTTCACATTCTATGCCATAAGCACAAGATCCAAAGTATGAAGATGAGAATGTGTGGGACTATTCAAATTTTGAACAAAGCCAATAGCATCTAAGATAGCATTAAAGGCTGCTTTTAAGCTATTGCCTTCAATGTCAGCATGGATGTTAATTCAGACAGAAATAGTCTGGACAGCAACAACGCTGCTCAACAGTCCAAACAGGAAGTGAAAACGATATGTCTTACCAAAAGCAGCAGTAGCACCCACTAGTGGCAAGATAGCATAACTTCAAAGGGGCATTTGACCTAAACCACTTTGACGAGTGAGTTAACGACCCATCAGATCCCCTAATGACCATCCCCCCCAAGTGGCCTCCATGGCCAACGCAGTAGGAGAGATCAGACCCACGTGTTGCCCCCCCTAATTCTATGTTCCACCAACCGTATATTAATCTCCCCATCACTTGTTAGAAATGAAGAGACTGCTTGGATGAAATGTCTTCTAGAAAACTTCACGTCCAGTTGTCTAAACTGAACTTTCCCAGCTTGACATAGCTCAGATGATTCAGAAGGAGGTTCCTGTAGGCTACTCTGATGGAAGGCTATGGTGTGTGTAAGCGGTCAGCTGTGTTCTCACCCTGTAGTAATCAGTGCTGTAAATGTCTCTTGACATTCCAAAATCGCCTATCTTCACCAGAAGGCCGTTCCCCACCAAGCAATTCCTTGTTGCAAGATCACGGTGGACAAAGTGTTGGGAGGCCAAGTAGATCATCCCAGCCGCGATCTGACTGGCGATGTGAAGCATCTGGGACAGACCCAGCTCCCCGTTGGTCTGAAGAGGCAGCCCATCCACCAGGATGGTGGCGTCTGGTCCGTGGGCTCTGAGGAGACAGTTTCACTCCGGTTTAAACATCACAGTTGTTTTTTCTTTTACTGGATATTTTTGAAGAACTGAACAGATTCATGTGGATCATCTATAAACAAATGGCTACTTAGAAAATATTAAGTCCGGAAACAACCAAAAATATGAGAGGGGCTGCAGACCTGCAAAATGCGGACTCCTGCACGGTCAGGAACAGAAGTTTATTGCAGATGTTTTATTTGAAGCCTTCAGGAATAGCATGTATCATGTATGTGCAGATGGAATTTAAAATCCTCCTTCTCACATATAAAGCCTTAAATGGCCAAGCTCCATCTGATATCAGAGATCTGACTGTTCCTTATGTTCCTAACAGAGCACTTTGCTCTCAATCTGCAGGTTTACTAGTAATTCCTATAATTTATTAAAAGTAGAATGGGAGGCAGATCTTTTAGTTATCAGGCTCCTCTCCTGTGGAACCAACTACCAGTTTTAGTCCGTGAGGCAGACACCCTGTCTACCTTTAAGGCTAGGCTTAAAACTTTCCTTTTTGATAAAGCTTATAGTTAGAGTGGCTCAGGTTATCCTGAGCTATCTCTATAGTTATGCTGCTATAGGCTTAGACTGCTGGAGGACATAGGGACCCCTTTTTCATCATTCTGCTTCATTCTATGTCTATTCTCCCACTCTGCAGAATCTGTTAGTTCAATCTCTAACGTTCTGCTCTCTCTGCTTTTTCTCATAGTAGCTTCATCTGGTCTGTTCCTGTTTGGCTGTGACTCCATCCTGGAGAGAAATATCAGCTGTGCTGCTGCCATCAACACCTTTGTTTCTAAATGTTGGAGCTTGGCCTGTTTTTCAGTGTAGTCCTGTTTTTCTGACTGTGACTAACTGGATGTCAAGTCAAGTCAAGTCAGTTTATTTATATAGCGCCAATTCACAACACAAGTCATCTCAAGGCTATTTACATGGGCTTTCTGTGTGGAAGTGAATCTCTGAGTACCTGGAACCAAGCACCTGTAGTTGTTTGTGAAAGTGCACTTGTGCATGTAAAGTTTATCCAAAGAAAATATGCTCAATAGTGGTTGTGGAGAGCCGAAGAGGCGCACCCCCAGAGCACTGAGTCCAGTCTATGTCCATGTTTAAAAAGCCATTACAAGGCTTTTGTTTGGCTACTCTATAAAAGCCTGGAAATCAATGCTAATCCAGACATTTGAATTGAAAAACCTTCCTGGATGGGAAGAGAAACGTCTTCAAACTTGTAAAACAAAGTCCAGTGGATTGCTTTTTTTCACTCTAACTTTTTCTGTAAGTAATGTACGTCAATTATTGTTCTTACTCTGAAGTATCGTGCAGGAGTTTCGGGAAAATTTTGTAAAAAAAAAAAATAAAAAAATAGCAACTTATGTTTAATGTTACTAACATATCGCCAGCAATTTTTCAAAAAGGTTTAAAAAATGCATATTGCAACAAAAGAAACTATAATCTCCTTTGAATAAATAACTGCCACCTTAAAGAGTAATTATTTTATTTCTACCTATTTTATTACGTGAAAAAAAAATCAGCATTGCTATAACTAGCCTCTAAAAATAGGTCATTTATTGAATTATCCCCCCCCCCCCCACTCACATTAACTCCCCCCTCACATAACGCATGTTTATAAAAAAGATTTGGTCGACAGCTCCTCCTACCTGAGAAACTTATTGAGGTCTCCGTGTTTCATGTACTCAAAGACCATGATGAGAGGGTCTCCATCCACACACACGCCATAGAACTTGACGATGTGCTCGTGCTGAAGGTTGGTCAGCAGCTCCGCCTCATGCTGGAAATCCTTCCTGGCTGCAAGCGTGGGGTCCTTTAGCGTCTGGAAACAGGAGGAGTTGGTGTCACATTTCTACATTTGAATCGACTAAATACATAATTGTCATGATTTTGGTTCTGTTTAAGTTTTATCTTTGAGGTTTCATTGTTTTTATTTTGTTTCTCTCTCCCATATATGCACCTCCTGCTTAGTCACTGTTGCTGGTTTGTCGTCATTTCTTTGACCCCTTGTGAAGATTCCTGGTTTTCAGTATTTTTGGATTTTCTTTAACCCTTTTTGTTATTAAATCTCCAAGTAACCACCTTCAGCTTCAGTGTCTGCATTCGGGTCCCATCAAGCCTCCTCCCAACATGACAATAATACTACAATACTTTTTCCATCTCCAGTTTACAGCTTGTATAAAACTCTGCTGCTCATCTCTGACTAATCAGATCGCTTTAGGATATATTTTAATCTTTTGTTTTTAAAGCAGTCACTGGCTTTTCACCACCCCATCTACATCAGAGTTTGAATACAACCAGCCCAAAAGTGCTTCAGGAACTTCTGGTGAACTTCTGCTGGTGGTTCCTCGCTGTTTGCGATGGGGGTCCTGTGTTCCCTGAGAGACGCTGCTTCACTGTTCTGCCTCCCCTAAAGGTAAGTCCACTCATATTCATATTAAGTGTTTTTAATTCAGAGTATTTTTCATTTCAATGTGCTTTACTGGAGGCATCCATGTTTGTCAAAGAACACTACTGCCACCTACTGGTTTGTGACGTCACGGTGCGGTATCGGCTGTTGATCAAGTCCCAGTGCTGTATCTGGTGTTTGTCACAACGCGCTATTATCCAAGTCATCTTGAAAACATTCTTCTTCCAAATGTTGGCTACATATTACGTGTTTTTTCTCTGGCCAGAAGTTCGACGGCAAATCCTCCCTCTTCAAGTTGGCAATCCAACGACCAACCTGTCCGTGGAGGATCAGGAATCAGAAAGGTAAAATAACTCTTTTTTTTTTTTTACATCCAGCTGCCATGCACGTGGGCATTGTCAGTTTCACTATAGCTCTGGTGAATTTCAATGGTGAAGTCCTCTGGAAATCTTCAATAATTGTTGTTGATTGCAGATGTGTCTAGTAGTTCCCATTGATTTTGCTTGTAAAGCGGAGAGAATGGCGCTAGGCTTACCGCACCATGACGTCACTGTCTGAAGATGGCAGGAGGGAGGGGCTACTATATTTGGGCAAAAATGGCCGCTCCCAGACTCAGTGATCGCAACGAAAGTTATTGCTTTTATTTTTTCACTGATTAATGCTAAATTTCTTAAATCACCGCAAATGTATTAGTGTTAGGTATAAATAAAGATTCATTGATTATTCTTTGTTTACCGGACTTTTCCTTTAAAGCCTCAAACTCAGGATCCTTTGATTTGAAATAGCCTTTTTGTTGGGATCTGGAGCTGTACCACCTTCCTCCAGCAGAGTGCGCCGTGGGTCTCCTGGAGCTGGAGCCTTCCAGCACACCTGAGATGCATCTATTCATCAGGAGACCTCCCCTTTATAACCAGCTGCCAGACCTTGCTTCGACGCCGCAGTGTTGACCTTAGTTTGGTTAGCAACCTGAGCCTTAGAAACTGAAATAATCTAGTTGTCTCTTGTGAGAGATCAAATTCTAACTCTCCTCTATTTTTGCCTCACAGGAAACCTGTCTCTAGCCTGAAGCTCTGGGTGAGCTTAACCTGCCAATCTGCCCTGGTGAGCCAAACCTCAAGATTCCTATGTGGATTCCCCTGCTGCTCTTAGTAAAGAGCTGGAAACTCTGATCAAGGTCTGCCATGCTAAGTCAGAAGCTAGACGCTGCAGCTGCTTGTGTACTCTGCTGAACCAACAGTCTCTGGACCCAACAGTTCCCTCTCTCTCAAAGAGAAACCCGGACCCAGTCAAGGTAGAATCTGAATTATCTAAGGACTCATAACTCATCTGCCTGCTCTGCTAATCAAACTATCATCTCTGCAGACTTCAGTGAACCAGCCCGGACCAGTTCCAGATCCTGTACATTATCTTGTGTCTCTGAACATTCAATAAACTCTGTTAAACTTTTACCCAGCCTCCGTTGTGTTCTGCATGTGGGCTAAGAACCTTGAACCCATCATGACACTTTTATTCTAAAATTGTTGTATTTCTAAGCTCTTTTATTTGGTTTTATATTTGTTGTCATTGTGCTCCTTCCATTGGGGGGTGCACCCTGTTGGTCTCTTTAAGGTAAATGGATTAAAAAGTCCAGCTTAGAGGTTTATGATGTTTCAAATTTGCATGGAGGCACACCCAATGGAACAGACTTGTTTGTCTCCTTTCTATGGCAGGCCCCAATAAAACCGTCTAGTTTTGAACACACAGCTAATCTGTCAATAAGCAAACATCAGAGAAATCTTCCCAAAACGACATAAAGCCGCTCTCGTCTCGGTAGGTTAAAACTGCATTCATAATATAATATAGCCGTACCTTTACAGCGACCAGCATCTTATCCTTAGTTGGACTGAGGTTGTAACATTCAGCCAAGAAGACCTTCCCAAAGGCACCTTCTCCCAGCTCTCTCTTCAGAATAATGTCTCGACGTTTAATATGTTGAACATCTAAGAAAAAACGAGAGACGAACAGATTCTAAAACATATTTCATTTCTGATATAAAAGCTGTTGCCATGTCATCTGAGACAGGGAGACTTTAAATAACAGATTTTCTTTCAAAAACTGCATCACTGAAGCATCTCCGTTTTGATATGTGGTTGGAACAATTGGTAAGAACAGACAAAAAGATTTTTATGTTTTGAAGTCAAATTCAAGTTGCTACAGCGGAAGCAGCTGATTCAAAAAGGAAAAATATATTTTTTTTGATATCAGGAATACTAGTACATATCAAAACGGCTTGCCATAGCTGTTGTTACCGTGAAAATATTACGTGATTATTTCTTGAATGGCAGTAGATCAATGTAGTAGATTATTAAGGGGACATCATCTGTTAGCAGGTGAGGATGAATAATAAATTCACACTGATAGTGATGAGCTACATTGTAGCCAAAGCTATCCTGGGGCACGCTGACAGGAGGGAGGCAGCCATAGCCCACATTCCCAACATTAGAAAGTGAAGGACCGGAACTTCTGCCTCTTTATGGATTAATTGGGATCAAATATTGCTGCTAGCAGAACAATCACGTTTAGAGAGTTTGCTGTTAAATTAAATTGTTTCACATATGTTCTAATTATAATTTTTTTATTACAGATTTTGTATTTTTAACTAGTTTTTTCACATTTCTCTTTTTTTAGAGTTTTAACAATTGCTTTCTTTTCTAACTTTAGTGATCTGTAAAGAGCAATTTAAACAGAACACAATTACAATCATTAAAAAAAAAATAAGAAAACAGCAGAGTTACTCTCAACTCATTTTATGATCAAAATATTTTAGGTTTGATTTCTGGTTTGCATTTTTCTTTCCAATTTATAAAACATTATTACTGCTTGCAATGAATATGGAAGAAAATCCACTCCATTCGTCCTACACAACTACAGTACACTGCCGTCATTCACACTGATAGTGGTGGGCTACATTGTAGCCACAGCTATTGTGGTGCACGCTGACTGGAGGGAGGCAGCCATACCCCCACATTCCCAACATTACAAGAGGATGTGGGTGAAGGACAGATGGAGCTGGGGTTTCAAACCAGCGACCCTCTAATGAAAGAAGAACTTCGGCCTGTTTATTGTAGTAAATAGTGCTGCTAAGAAAAGAACAGACAAGTTTAGAGAGAGACTTTCTTGTCAAATCATCAGATTTTTTTTTAAATATTTGTCTCATATATTCTCATCTTGTTTTTTTAGATTTTATATTTCAAATTTGTTTTTTTCACATTTCTCTTTTTTAAACCAAGTTTTGACAATGGCTTTCTATTCTAACTTTACAGATCAGTTGTTTTATTTTAAGGCCATTACGAAAAGGCTCACTCATGACAGGCATATTGACCAATAAACATTATGCTAACATCCGTGCGGACCAATGGAAATGCTTCCTACTCCAGAGGAGTGAACTTCTTGCTGTGAGGTAATGGTGCTAACCACCAGACCACCATGAGTTAAGAACCTCCACTCGCTAATTCTTGCTCTTGCTGACCAATTCTCTCAAACGTCTGCAGCTGCTCTCCGGTCTCTCTGGTTCCCATTCCTGCTGAACCCCCCCCCCCCCCCCCACCCACACACACACACACAAACTTCTTCCCCACTAAAACTGAATTAAAAGTTTAATTAAATTCTGTCAAGACTTGATTCTGTTTCCTAGCACTGGATTCTGTGTGGGTCAGAGAGTATTTCTATTAGTATGTCAGACATGGCCTTACTCACAGGTGGTTGGCTTTGTGCAGTTGTGTCCATGTCTAAAGTACTGTGGGTTCTCTATGATGGGGATCCTGGACATCCCAATCACCACAGAATCTAACCCAACATCCAGAGCACAGGGGCTTATAACGCCGTTATTTACATGGTGGAGGGGACTAGCAGAGTTTTCTTCACCACTCATCGCTGCTCCTGGACCTGGAGAGAAACAGAGAAAAGTTTTAGAAAATATAAGATTAAAAGACAGCAGAAGCTTTTTTTTATAAATGTGGTTTTATCTACTCAGGTGCCTACAAGCCATGTTTATTGTGTGCTGTTCACACGAAACTACGTAGTGATACATAAGGATCAGGAAATTGGACTAAAATATTAAGCTGATTACTCAATTTCCCCCCCAGTGTTAAACTTTTTAATTTCTTTTCTTTTTGCATTTGAAAGAAGTGTCAGCTAATCAGTTCAAGACGCCTGAACAGTGATGATAAAAAAAAGAGAATAAAAATGGATGAGAAGAATCATCCTAACTGATCTAAACCAAAAATCTACAGCAAACAATTGAAATCTAAATTAGTCGTTTTTTCTTAAAATAAGGGATTTTGTTTGTTGAGTTGAGCAGCTAAGTGAGACATTTTGCCAATGGAAAACAAAAAAACATTTGCATCATCTTACTTTGGAAATGTTAGGGTTCTGGTGTGTGTGAGTGTGAGTGATGCATCTTTTCCTGAAAGGATCTTGGTGGACTACCTGGGCTGCTACACAGGTGGAGCTTGTCAGTTTCATCAAAGTGCTGGGATTTAACGTGCAGCAGAGCGTTTACTCAGCGCAGGATGATTTATATTCACCTGTAGTGTTTCAGGCCATCTGTTGTTGAACCCTTTCTAGTAGTTTGATTATCTCATGTGAACTTAACTGAAGTAGCTCAATCCCTGTGCTTGCTCTCTCTAGGTTTTTCTCTCGCTTGGTTTCAAGAGGATTCAGTTCACCGACTCACCGCCAGTGGATTTATCACCTCCCTGCCCGCTCCACCATTCATCATTTCCAACCCAGCTCCATCACACTCCTGGAACTCTGTATTCCAACTATAAGAGGTAAACCATAAACCTCCCCCCATGGGGGCCCAGCCCATCTTCCCTCCGTGGCCAGTTCAGAGTATTTTGAAGTAAGCGCTTTTTTTCAATTCCTTATCAAAGGTTTCTGGTCACAATTAATTCCTCTCTCATTCCAGACGCCATTGTTCACAGACCTGTCTGTTTCTCATCGTTTTGTAAATAAATCTTTTTTCCAAATTTTAAACTGAATTGATTCTGCATGTGGGTCAGAAGATTAAATCCGAAAATGCCAGGAAAATCATCTTACCTGCTCAAATTAAGGGTAAATACATGTAATTTAAGAAATGTTTACTCTTTTCTGGATCAGTCTCATTTCATGTCAGGCTGAAAATCAAAGGTTTTCTGTTTCTCAGGAGCAGAAGCTCTTTGTGCTGCATTTTCAAAGAGTCGGTAAACAGTTTATTATTCTCACATTATTCTAATGTGTTTGTACAATTATGATGCTCTTGGTGAGGTGCCTTGTGATTTTATCTACTGTATGCTTCTTTTTCTATGTCTGCTTCTGTCTCCTTGAACCCCAGTCAGCCTCAGCAGATGGCCGCTCACACTGAGCCTGGTTCTGCTTGAGGTTTCTTCCTGTTCAAAGGGAGTTTTCCCTCCCCACTGTCACTACATGCTTGGTGTGAGGGTTTGCTGAAGATAATTTGATGCAATCAGCTTGGTTTTCCTTAGATAGCTTTGAATCAATCTAACTGGATGATCTGGTTGGTCGATAAAGTGACCTGAGATGACATGATGTGAATTGGAGTTATAGAAATAAACTGATCGAAATTAATCTATCTTTATAAATTCCTGTTCTTTATTTAGTGACTTACGGCCATTAAATATGCATTCAGACTGAGAAATGCATGACCTTCTTACCTTTAATGATGAGTTTGGATTGTCGTCCGTATTTGTTGATGAGAACAAAAAGAACCACGAGGACGACGCAGGCAAACGCTGCCAGCCCTACCGCCATGGAGACCTGCAGAACAGATTATTATATTTCTGAAGCATTTGAAAACAGGACACCTGATATCTGTCTTACTTTATATATTCATAGAGGACTTTAACACAATCCCAGCTGCGACTAAGAAAATATTAAAAAACAAAAACCCTTTTAAACATAAAACAATGAAAGGACATTAAGAACAAAACAAAAAGAACTGTAGCAAATCCTTAAAAGTAAAAATGGGGGGCTGGACCTCTGGCATGTAATGGGGGATTATGCCATAATCTGGAAGGCTCTGTCCCATCCAGCAGCAGCTGATCAGCCGACCTGAGCTCATTAACCTGCAGAAACTTTGTGAATTTATCCTCCATGTTTTCAGAGGAATTCTGTTTAAGGGCGCTCTTGACTATATGGCTCAATAATGAAGGTTTATAATAAAAATTAATCTCACTTTAAAAAAAAAAAAGGAGGCAATTCGGTACGTAAACGGGACAGAAAGGATTCAGAAAACCTTTTTTCTTATCAAATCCCTTTTGTGTTTACTCAGGTTGTTGTGCAGAAATTAAATGTGTCATGATCTATAACATTTAAATTACAGATTCAGATTTTGTATATGTTCAGTATTTTGATTTGCACAAATTAGTTCGAAATATCAAGCAGCTTTTCTGATTTTAATTTGGACTATGACCAATCACCCATTACTAGATGGAGGTAGGAACCAGAGCCCCTCCCAGCCCCAGCAGGGATAAGCATGATGGGAAATGGATGGATTGTTGTTTAGAGCTATTAGATATAAAAAAAGGGCCTCCAACCTTGTATTCAACCAAGTATCTATAAAAGATTTTAAATTGTTTATGTTCTAAAGAAACAAACAGGAGATAACCACACTTTTTATAAAAAAATTCTATCTTGAGAAAAAAATATTGAAAGTTAGATTATACTGCAGTAACTCACCCCAAAAGGATCTTCCAAAGGTTTGCGAGTCTCTGCAGTTGGAGTGTCTGTGAAAAAAGCTAAACAAAGTTTACTTCTTAGCCTATTGAAGAACTTTAAACAACCAATAATTTAACACCAAAATAGAGTAGTAGTAATAGATCTTAAAGAATCTGTTCGCCTTCATCTCCTCATCACAGAACAATACTGCAGAGAAACAACTTGGCTACTTCCTCTTTGCTCTCTGCTGTAGTCAACACAGCCCCTTTGAAGAAGAAGAACTTTAATAATAGGGAGGTGGCTGGCTGGTTTAATTTAGAGCTGCTTAATGAAGCATGATGTTAGGAAACTGGAGAGAAAGTGGCGCTCTACATCTACTACTTAATCCAGAAAAACCTTTACTGCTGAATAAGAGGGTCCTTCGTATAACCAGAGAAGCATATTTCCCCTCATTAATAGAGGAGAATCAGATTTTGAAACACTTAGCCGGTGCAGCTTGAACACATCGTCAGTGAAGGACCCAGGGTCATAGGGTGTTTCGGGTCTTTGATCTTCAGACACCCTCGTCTGGGCGACCCAACCGGGGTTGATCAGGCCCCAGTTTGTGTTCAAGCAGCGCGCTACTCCATGCGTCTCCCCTCTTGATCCACAGCCACCTTGAGGCTTTCTCAGCGGCCTCACTGATGTTTCTGGTGGCTCTTCTCTCAAGCAACCCTCTGATGCCAAGGAGCCTGAATGCCCGATGCACAGTCTGACTTAGGAAGCCTCTGCAGCCCACTTCTATTGGCTCACAGCGGGCCATCCATCCACGGCATCTGCATGCCTCAATCAGCTCAAGATACTTCGCCCTCTTCCTTTCATGAGCCTCCTCCATCCTGTCTTCCCAGGGGACTGTAAGCTCCAGTAACACAACTTGCTTCGTTGAGTCAGATGTTAAGACCAGATCTGGTCTCAGTAACGTCCTTACAATGTGCTCTGGGAACTTTAGCTGCCTTCCAATGTCCACATGCAACTGCCAATCCCGAGCCACGAAATCCTAGATTTCTTTTTAATCCAGTTGCTAAACTCACCCAGAGCCATAGCTCTGTTGAACCGTCCATTCCACCTGTTCTTAGCAGCAATGATTTTATGGGATTCTTTATAAATAAGATTGATCTTATTAAAAATAAAATCATTAACACTCCTCTATCTACGATTGGTTTATCTCTGGAGGGTGGGGCAGCATCTGAGGTAGCCATAGAATCTGAACCGGGTTTGGACTGCTTTGATCCAGTTGAACTTTCAGAGTTAGCAAAACTATTGTCTTCATCTAAGCCTTCAACTTGGATGTTAGATCCAGTTCCAACCAGGTTATTTAAGCAGGTATTCCCTTTTATCTCCTCCTCCACTTTAGATGTGATTAATCTATCTCTGTTACAGGGATATGTACCTAAAGCTTTTAAGGTTGCTGTAATTAAACCTCTGCTAAAGAAACCGTCTCTTGACCCAGATGACTTGGTCAATTATAGACCTATATCCAATCTTCCTTTCTGAGCTATAATTCTTGAGAAAGTAGTTGCCAAACAAGTTTGCGATCACTTCCACCATAATGAACTTTTAGAAGAGTTTCAGTCTGGCTTTAGAGCTCATCATAGCACTGAAACAGCTCTGGTGAAAGTCACTAATGATATTCTCATGGCCTGAACTGCCGGGAAGCCACTCCCCTCTGCCAATCTCCTGTGCTGCTTCTTTCTGCTCTGCCTGCTGGAGATGGGAACCAGGTGAACTCAATCTCTGGCAATCAAAGAGTGTACTTTTGGTGTGGCTGATCTCACTCTTGTTTGAGGAAGTAGCACAGCATGCAAGCCAAACAGTGGTGGTAGTACATGCAAAGTCCAAACCGTGCAAAAAGTTGCTGATTACAATTGCTCATTCACATGGACTGACTGTGTTTATCGGGTTGATTGTTTAATATTATTAAAAGAGAAAAAAATACACTTGGTGTTTATTAGTTAAAACAGAAAAAAATGTTGATAAAAATGCTAATTTATCAATTGCTGTTTAATTTTACTGTAAAATAGCTAATGTTTATTATTCTTCAGGATTAAATTATTTAAATTGGTGGAAATTTCTGTCTCTTCTCAGGGTTTTCACCTGTGTGATCGGAGGAAAATCATGATCATCATAATAAAGATGACTAAAATGAAGTCTCCTTGAGTAAACGCCAGTTACGTTTCACAGAAGAGACTTGCCTTTCAAGTGGGGATTGCACATCTAAAGATCAAACCTAAACGGAAAACTTGACAGTACTTGTCCTGTTAAGCCGGGCGTACACTGTACGATTTTTTGTGTGTGTCTATTCTCAGGTCAATTGAATTTTTACGATCAGGCCGACTTTCAGCCTGTTGGTGCGTGGTATACGGGGGGTAACGAGGGGCGATCAGCCTCTAACGACCACCTCCCCATCAGGAATCGTAAGGTCAGGAGAAAATCAAACATGTTTGAAATTCAGTCGGGCATCGTAAGGTGGTCGTGGGCAAATCGCTCAGTCGGCAAACAAGGATTCTTCTTCTTCTTCCACTCAGAGGAAAACCCGGCAGCATGGTGGGGGTGCAATGAGTGAAATTGAGTTTTTTCTGTTAAACTGACACACTGTAGTAGCCACGTTTGCTCAGCCATGTCTTTGTCCAAATACTTCGTCACCTTTTGCTTCAAAATTGCCCAAATAGCCAAGGCAGCGCGTTTCACTCTAGTGAGCGTCATATTCTTCTCCTACTTGTTGGGCTTCGGGATAGACGAGTCCGAGTAGCGCCATCTCACTGCGGAGCTGAGCCCCACCTGGTTTTTAGACTTTCAGTGTGAGAACATGTACATCATGAGCTGTGAACTGGCACTGTACGATGAAACCCTGCGGTCTGGACCTGTATCTGCGTGCAACGATTGAAAAAAATTGTTCAGTGTATGCCCGGCTTAAGAGATCTCAGTGCTGCATTGATCCAGTTGACCCTAATATTATTTTAGAAAGACTTGAATATGTTGTAGGAATTAAAGGAACAGCTTTAGACTGGTTTAAATCTTATCTGACCATTTTCAATTCAGTTAAATTTTATAGCACCAATTCACAACACACGTCATCTCAAGGCACTTTACAATTCAACCAGATCATCTAGTCAGATTGATTCAATTTTCTGTCTAAGGAAAACCAGCTGATTGCATCGACTCATTGACTCTTAAGCAATCCCTCATACTAAGCATACTTGTAGCGACAGTGGAGAAGCTGGAATATTGTAATTGAATTTGCATGTAAACTAGCTGTTTCTGCTGCCTCTAACATGTGCGGTCTGAACGTAGCATTTGTAAGGACTCAGGCTGGGCTACTCCAAAAATATAAAGTTACAGAAAACTGTTATTATTGAGTCTAATTAAATAAGCTGCTCTAAGCAGATATGCATCTTAGAGAAGATGATTAAAGGCAGAACAGTTTGAATATAGAACTATAACATATGAACTGCAGAACTTAACCTACTGGACATGCAAACCTTTCCCTTACAGTATATAAAAACCTACTTACCATATTCATTATCCAAATCTATTGAAGGAGCAAACAGAGAAGACAAATGCAAACTGTAAGGCAATGTACAGATAGTACAAATATTCCAAAAGTTTCTAACAAGTATGACAAATCAGATTGGAAAAAATTCTGTCTTGATCAACTAATATAAACATATCATATAATATACACTATATTGCCAAAAGTATTTGCTCACCTGCCTTGACTCACATATGAGCTTAAGTGACATCCCGTTCCTAATCCATAGGGTTCAATATGACGTCGGTCCACCCTTTGCAGCTAGAACAGCTTCAACTCTTCTGGGAAGGCTGTCCACAAGGTTTAGGAGTGTGTTTATGGGAATTTTTGACCATTCTTCCAGAAGCGCATTTGTGAGGTCGCACACTGATGTTGGACGAGAAGGCCTGGCTCTCAGTCTCCGCTCTAATTCATCCCAAAGGTGTTCTATCGGGTTGAGGTCAGGACTCTGTGCAGGCCAGTCAAGTTCATCCACACCAGACTCTGTCATCCATGTCTTTATGGACCTTGCTTTGTGCACTGGTGCACAGTCATGTTGGAAGAGGAAGGGGCCAGCTCCAAACTGTTCCCACAAAGTTGGGAGCATGGAATTGTCCAAAATGTCTTGGTATGCTGAAGCATTCAGAGTTCCTTTCACTGGAACTAAGGGGCCAAGCCCAGCTCCTGAAAAACAACCTCACACCATAATCCCCCCTCCACCAAACTTTACACTTGGCACAATGCAGTCAGACAAGTACCGTTCTCCTGGCAACCGCCAAACCCAGACCCGTCCATCAGATTGCCAGATGGAGAAGCGCGATTCGTCACTCCAGAGAACGCGTCTCCACTGCTCTAGAGTCCAGTGGCGGCGTGCTTTACACCACCGCATCCGACGCTTTGCATTGCACTTGGTGATGTATGGCTTGGATGCAGCTGCTCGACCATGGAAACCCATTCCATGAAGCTCTCTGCGCACTGTTCTTGAGCTAATCTGAAGGCCACATGAAGTTTGGAGGTCTGTAGTGATTGACTCTGCAGAAAGTTGGCGACCTCTTCGCACTATGCGCGTCAGCATCCGCTGACCCCGCTCCGTCAGTTTACGTGGCCTACCTCTTCGTGGCTGAGTTGCTGTCGTTCCCAAACACTTCCATTTTCTTATAATACAGCTGACAGTTGACTGTGGAATATTTAGGAGCGAGGAAATTTCACGACTGGATTTGTTGCACAGGTGGCATCCTATCACAGTTCCACGCTGGAATTCACTGAGCTCCTGAGAGCGACCCATTCTTTCACAAATGTTTGTAAAAACAGTCTGCATGCCTAGGTGCTTGAATTTATACACCTGTGGCCATGGAAGTGATTGGAACACCTGATTCCAATAATTTGGATGGGTGAGCAAATACTTTTGGCAATATAGTGTACCATATTTCATAGAGGTGATTGATTTAATATCACAAAAATAATTTCTATAAACTTTTATCTTTTTACTTTAGAAGATGGATTTTGCTGAGTGAAGTGTTTGGTGAAAACAGCCTCTTCACTGTGATGAAGCTGTATCTGCTGATGTGTTTCTTTTACAACCAGATGAAATCCACTAAAGTTATTTAATAACACACCTTTGGTTAATATAAAACCGTTTAACTTCATTTATCGACACTAATGTAATGGAAAATGCTGGTGAAGATTCTCATTCATCCAGATCATAGTCATTCCAAAAAAGTTAAAATCAATCCTCTGGACTTTATTTCCCAGTGTGAAGACGTTTCTCTTCCATCCAGGAAGCTTTTTCAATTCAAAATGTCAGAAATAGCGTTGAGTTCCAGGTTTTATAGAGTGGACCAATAAAGCCTTGTTTTTGTTTAGAAAACATGCAGATAGAAACAGACGAACGGGTCCACCCCTTCCGGAAGATATCAGGAGGGAGGTGTTACTATATTTGGGCAAAAATGGCCGCTCCCAGACTTGGTGATCGCCATGAAAATTATTGCTTTTATTTTTTTACTGATTGACGCTAAATTCATTAAATCACAGTGAACATAATCAGTTTTAGGTATAAATAATGATCCAGTGATTATTCCTTGCTGACAGTATTTTTCCTTTAAAAGTCTATTTTCACTGCAACTTTACAAACATTCATAGAAACTGCAGAGTTTCTGATGTCTGGCAAAGGCAGAAAGGAAAAGGACTATATGGTCTGTGTTCTATGGAGCCTCCCTGCTATAATAACTAATATCAGCCTGCATGAGGTGTGGACCACAGCTTACCAGGAGGGGGCGTTTCAAGGAAGTGTCCGTACACCGTCCTGGTGACCACTCCCAGAGAGTTGTTGGCTTCCAGAGTGTAGTTGCCGTTGTTGTAGTGTGTCGGGTTTTTAAAAAGAAGGCAGCCCTCTAGGTCGTCACGGTAAAAATCCATATCAAGGCGAATGTACTCATTGTGGGTTATTTCCTGAAACGGTACAATAGAACAGCAATATCCTTCATTTTCCCTCCCAGTAAATAGAAGTACTCAGATGCTCACACAGATATAGCAATAATAGAATGAAGCAAGTAGTAATTATGTATGACAGCATAATCAGAATCTAGGAAGTATGTAGAAATCAGCAGGTTGTCTGTTCGCTTCAGGATTTCTAAGCAGGAGGAACGAGCTCTCTCAGATGTAGAGTTTCATCTCAGTAGAATGAACCATTTTGATTTTTAATGAAAGGACAAGGATATGCTAGTTTTTTTATTATTTTTATTATCCCATTTTCCCCTGATGCCTCACTGGCAGCTGCGTGGCCTCTGCCCCCCAGCGGCTGCATGTCTGGTGACATCATCACACAGGGTTAGCATTGATGATGTCGCCAGTGCAACAGAAATCAGGCAAGTAAATGATAAAGAGCAACATGGTAGGAAGCCAGGGCATAGTCAGTGAGCTTTATTGATTCTCTCTATAATCTGTCTGAATCCCTCTCATCAGAGCTGCTCCATATTTATCGTGTTTCTGCTTGTTAGATCAGAAGCAACTGGCGCTGTGTGTTGATGTCCGTACGTTGCATTCAATGGTATCACGTAATTTAATGGGTCGACCCCGTTCTGGTGTTTCCACTGCATGCCAATTAGAGCCGAGGTGATTTTAACAGGGTTTGCTTGCTGAGTCATTTGACCCGGGTAGAAATCAGTGAGCATCAGTGAGCTGTTCCCACTGCCACTAAAAGGCGATTGTAAACAGGTTTTTAACCCTGTAACCCCAAATGTATCATATTTGATACATACGGTTTCTGAAATGTTTTGCATCTGACACCTTTTGCATATTTTAATGGTAAAAACTTTGCTCAAAATCCTATTGTACATAATCAGATATACCTGATAAAAGAGGGCAGAACACTACACAAAAAATAATCTTGACTTATCGCATAGTAATAAATTATTAATATCAAAAATGTATTTCTGTTTTTTCTTTTTACATATTTTGTTAAAAGGCCAAATAAGGACTTCAAACCAAAAAAAAGTAATTTTCCGTTTTATTCTTGGATCGGGCTTTAAAGGGTTAAGCCAGTTGGAAAGGGGTATTACACACATGAATATTTCGCACAGACGGTGGGACTTGCCATTCGCCTCGTTACAATCGCACCCACCTCTGCTTTGCAGCGCTCCAGAGTCCTAACCTTAACCCTCACCCTCAACAATAGAGAAAATGTCAATAGTTCACTGTAGATGAAATATTCACATTCATTATGAACGCATCTTGAGATCTTTGGTTTAAAGGGTCTATGTTTTGCAAAACCAACCTTTTACAGCTTTTGTATATGTTGTTATGCTTTTCCCACATCAAAATCAGGCTCAAATGCCTGTTTCTCTTGATCCAAGAATGTCCAAAGTCATTCCTAGACGGCCGCTGTTCTGCACGTTTTAGAGGTTTTCTGCTTCAGCACAGTCTAGCAAAAGCCTGTTAATCAGGTATCAATGGAAATAAGCTGTGCTGAAAGAAGGAAACCTCTAAAACCTGCGGGACAAACGTCCTCCAGGACTGACTTTAGTCATACCTGCTCTAGATCCATGCGTGTCTGAGCAATCCTTAATGAATTCTACTTTCTAAGCAGAGGTGGAACCAGAAAATCCTAATAGGGGTGGCCAGTTAATAACCAATGTACATTGAGGGGTGGCCGAAAGGCACCAGAACCTCAGGGTCAATCTACACTGTTTCAACAGGAATGAGCACAACATTCATAATTTCAAATTTTAAAAACAAGAGAAACTATATTTTCCTGCAGCCTTTGCTAACAAGTAGACATATATATTTAAACATCTATGCTGTGTAAATTAAAGGTACAGTGGAAAAAAATTATTTCATGTTTGAGTTCTGGGGCGAACACATTTTACATTATCATTACCTACTTTTATCAATAATCATTCTGCAAAAAAATGGTATTTAAATCTACTAATATCTGCAATTAAGGAATTTTTAAGTTATTATCAAAGTAGTTATTAATCTATGATTTCACTGAAGACTCCTAGATGACTTGCAGAGGCATATCATTTTATCTTTACCCCAAATAATTCAAAATTTAGTTCTGAAAAGAGCATGAATTCTGTATCGATCAGCTTTAATGTTTGTAAATTTATGTGATTAATTAATCACAGTGTTTCTGTTGCCAAGTTGTTATTAATGGAAAAATAAAATTTTCAATAAGTTTTAACAAACCCCTTCAGAGTATTACTACTGCCACCGTCTGTATTAGAGGGAAAAAATTGTAGGGGTGGCCAATGATTGGCTAAGGGTGGCCATGGCCACCCATCTAGCTCCGCCCCTGTTTCTAAGCAAAAGTCCCACCCTGCCAGGTATATAAAAAGCAATGTATTGAAGGTGAGTGACTTTCTTCCAGATTGAAAGAAAACTACAAATATTTAATAAAAAATGAAACCTCTATACTGCTAGAGTTGATATTTTATATACGTCTATTTAGTTGGCTTTGAATAGTTTAAATATAGTAATAAAGATATGAAAATGAAACAGAAAAAATACAGGAACTATATTATCCATCCATCTCAGGCTGGATCCAGGTTGGAACTAAGCCTTGAAGTCAACTCCTGGAGGTCTTCAGGGCATTTTGTTGCTAAAAGGAAAACATCTTGTTCTCCATCAGTGTGCGTCATTAATAAGAACAATGGCTAAGGTCTAAGATGGAGATAGTTTTGTTGCAATAAGTTCTCCCACACCTTATTGTCATGGAACCATCTTAAACTGGGACGGGGTGAACCCCGAACAGTAAACTCTATACATGTGTCATGGCGGCGTTCTGGCTCCTTCAGCTTCACAATGGAAGGCGGAACTAAAGGGACAGAGAAAAGAAGACAAGTATTAAACGGAGGCCTTAGAGGTCACTAAGGCTACGTTCACCCTGCAGCCTGAAGTGGCCTAAATCCACATTTTTTGGTCATATGCGACCTGGATCTGATATTTTCATGACAGTCTGAACAACACAGATGCAGTTTTTTCCATTGCGATCCAGGCCACGTGGCTCTCTGGCCCAGAATCCGATACGAATCTGATCTTTTCTTATGAGACCTGTGTCTGAACGGCCATGGAAGGCAATAATGTGGAGAACAGTCTTCATTTTCAGCCACCTTGAAAAGATTGTGTTGTTGATGCACTGGCTGAGGTTTACTACCATCCATGTTTACTTCCCTAAACACAGAGCATGCTGGCTACTTGTGACATCATGGTGCATATGGGACACTTAAGCTGCCTGAATGCAGTTAAAACAGGAGATCACATAAGAGTCGCATATATTTGGAAATGTGAACAGCAACGCAGGAGAATCGGATTTCACAGAAAAGTCGGAATGGAGCATCAAGGCCTGCGGTGTGAACGTAGTCTTAGACTAACGGTGTGCTGGAAAGCACAGTCTCTCAGTGTCAATAAATGAGAAAATGCTTGGAAAGGATCTGAAATATTTAAACTAAAAAACCTCTAAAAATCCAATCTTTACCGTTTTAAGTTGAACAGTTGTAGCTTGTTGAGCGTCCGGCTAGTAAAAGTAATTATTTCAGGTTCCAAAGGATTTTCCTCCACAAGGTTTCAACAACAAGTCTGTACTTCAGGGGTATTATTTTAGTAAAATATAACAAACTATATGTAATTAATAAGATTTTTTTTTTCATTTATAAAATCTTTATCATGTGACAAATCGACCTTCCAACACTTTGTCCTCAGTAAGTTGAGGTGGAGCTGCTCTGGTTGGTGTTTGTGTGAACTTACAGTGAACGGTGAGGTCAACGATGGCTGTTGCCAAGCCTACAATGTTGGTAGCGGTGCAAGTTAGCTGGAAATTGTTGTCCTCCCTGCTGACATTGACCAGGGTTATGCTGATTGAGTGAACGCTGTTGTTGTAGATAGTAGCCTGGAGGGACAGCAGAAAACAGGCCTGATGAGTTGCTTCAAAAACTTCAATAACTCGTCTTTGATTGGTGCATATTCCTCCGTATGATGTTTCTCCATTGTGACAAAGTGGATTTACTAGCTTAAGTAACTATGTATGTGTGCATATATATATATATATATATATATATATATATATGCACACATTCATAGTTACTTAAAGCTACAGTGTGTAACTTTTAGCGACATCTAGCGGTCAGACTGCAGACTGCAGCAACATGAACATCTCCCCCCCACCGCTTCTCCCCCCCAACAGTACGGCGAGCTTTACGGGACAAAATGTCTTCCACGACATCCGCATCACCTACCTTCTCAAGTGATGAGGTTTGTTTACATAGATAATTTTACAGATAGTATTTCATTAGTCTGTGTAGGGTATAGATTTTATGTAGACTTAACATAATAAATATACCCGTTATTTTTTCTACATCAATGTGACGTTTTGGCGATCTCACAATCGCTAGTTTGTTGGCTCTGCGCTGCCGTAGCGCAAAGATGTCTGCCTCCATGGCTGCGAGACCCGCTCCTATGTAATTATAAATAACGAATTCTAAGGCAACGCAAATATTAAGGTTAAGAGGCTGAACTCGTAGATGATGATAAATAACATAGTTATGTATAATATATTACATTTCTGACTGTATATCCCTGTAATTATTACACACTGTAGCTTTAAGCTAGTAAATCCACTTTGTCACAATGGAGAAACATCATACGGAGGAATATATATATACGTGTATATATATGTACATATATATATACACGTGTATATATATGTACATATATATATACACGTGTATATATATGTACATATATATATACACGTGTATATATATGTACATATATATATACACGTGTATATATATGTACATATATATATACACGTGTATATATATGTACATATATATATACACGTGTATATATAAGTACATATATATATACGTGTATATATATATACACATATACATATGTATGTATATATACACATATACATATGTATGTATGTATGTATGTATGTATGTATGTATGTATGTATTGTTGGGAGCTGGAGAAATACCAACTTTCTCCAGCAGAGTCCGCCCTGGATCCTCTCAGCTGAGCTGTCTGCGCACCTGCTGCTGATCATCTCATCTGGAGGACCAGACTACATAAGCTGTCTTCAGACCTTGCCTCGTCGCCGCAGTGTCTTAATCAGTTGGTTAGCACCTAAGCCATAGATCCTCTGAGAACCAAGTTATCTCTGAGTCCTGTTTGGATTCTAACCCTTTTTGTCTCTGCTTCCAGGTTACCTGTTTTTCTCCTGTGAAGCTCTGGAAGAGCTTAACCTGCCGAGCATACCCTCCGAGCCAAACCTGAAGACTCACACTCTGGATTTCCAAGCAGCTCTGGATACCGAGCTGAAAACTCAAGCCAAGGTCAAATTCATCTCTAGAAGTAAGACGCTGAAACAGCTTACGGACTCTGCAAAACCAAGTCATCTCTGGACCCAACAGTTCCGCTCCCAAAGCCACTTCTACGCACCTCAAGGTACAAACCTGAACACAACCAAGATCAATCCCAACCAAGCCTCCGCTAACAGTACTGTCTCTCTCACAGACTCCAGTGAACCAGTCCCAGACCAGAACCAGTTCAACTGTTCATTCATTCATGTTTGTTCCTCAATAAACTGTTTAAAACGTTCCCTCTGAGTCGTCAGTGTTCTGCATTTTGGGCCTCTCTGTTTACCCATCATGACAGAACACTGCGGCCAGACACAAGGCCCAGCAGACCACCTTCGCCGTCGTTTGGAAGAACAAGATGTCCAAATACAAGGACAAACTCAGACCCTCCGTGAGTTGTACTGTTTGGTTGAAACGCATAATCATATGCTCCAAAGTTACGCTAATTACATGAGTAGTGCTAACACCGCTCCAGCAACCCAACCATTTCCGGGTCCAGTTCCTCCTCCGAGGTCACCGGCCGTGACGTCATCCGAGTTCCGCCCAAGTCTCCCAGAAAAGTTTTCTGGTAACGTAAATGATTGCAAGGGATTTTTATTTCAATGTCGACTCATTTTCCAGAACTCTCCTGGCAGTTTTCCCACGGACCACAAGAAAATTACCTTCATTCTTTCTCAGTTAACAGGAAGAGCTCTGGCATGGGCTCAAGCCAGATTTGCCTCAGATGAAAGCCTTGATTGTCGTTATACAGATTTCATTTCAGAGTTTTCCCAAGTTTTCAACCAGGACACCGATCAAACCCTTGATTCACGAGCTCTTTTTCATCTTAAACAGGGAAATTCTTCAGTGGCTGAGTTTTCCATAAACTTCCGGGTTAAAGCGGCTGCTTCCGGATGGAACCAGGGTGCCTTAAAAGGAGCTTATTTTGAGGCTTTAAACGAACATATTAAAGATGAGTTGGCTACCCTTGATGAACCGGCTACACTCGAGGAATTGATTCAGTTAACCATTAAGCTGGACAATCGGATTCGGGCTAGAAACAGCCTTAGGCACAGGAATTTGGGGTTAATTTCTTCTGTCCCCGCCTCAAATAATGTGACTGTTGTTTCTGCTCCCACAGAACAATTATCCAGACCAAAGCTTAAGAGCCAGCCTCTCTCTATGCCTGTTCAGGCTACTCATTCTGGAGATACTGAAATGGAGCCTATGCAGGTTGGACACACTAGGCTGACTCCACAGGAAAGACAAAGGAGATTTCTGGGCAAACTTTGCATTTATTGCGGTGAGAGTGGACACTTCATCGCCTCATGCCCAGCAAAATCAAAAGCCGGGGCCCGTCAGAGGTTTTGAGGAGTCTGACGGGCCACGAAGAAACTGAAAAACCTCCTCGTCTCATGCTTCCTGCCACGCTGTTTGTTTCAGACCAGAGCCTCTCTTTCTCAGCTTTCATTGACTCTGGATGTGAACGAAACTTAATTGATTCTAATCTCGTCCAACAGCTTCAAATTGCTACAGTTCCGTTAAACCAGCCTCTCAGGGTCTCTGCGATCGATGGGAAGAAACTTCATCAAGTCACCCACCAAACTCAACCTCTTGAGCTTCTAATCTCAGGTAACCATCGAGAGTCCATAACCTTCTTTGTTTTTTCATCCGCATGTTCCCCTCTGGTGCTGGGTTTTGAATGGCTGGAGAAGCATAATCCCCATATAAATTGGACTGATCGTCATGTGGAGTCCTGGTCCACATTGTGTCATGAGACATGCCTCCGTTCTGCAGCTCCCGCTGTGGGGCCCCCTAGAGGTGGGGGGGAGATGGACGTCCCTGACCTTTCTTCGGTACCTCCTGATTACCATGATTTGGCTCCTGTTTTCAGTAAGGTCAGTGCTTCGTCCCTTCCACCACACAGACCATATGACTGTGCCATCGAGCTGTTACCCGGGGCTCTGTTACCCAGCAGTAGACTCTATAACATTTCCAAACCAGAATGTGAGACGATGGAAAAATACATTAACGAGTCGCTAGCTGCAGGAATAATTCGCCCATCTTCATCCCCGCTGGGCGCAGGATTTTTCTTTGTTGGAAAAAAGGATGGTTCTTTAAGACCCTGTATTGATTATAGAGGCCTGAACCAAATTACAACCAAAAATAAATATCCTCTTCCTCTGCTCGCCTCAGCCTTTGAGCCCGTTCAAGGAGCTACCGTTTTCACTAAGCTCGATTTAAGAAATGCCTATCATCTCCTTAGGATACGTGAAGGGGATGAGTGGAAGACGGCATTTAAGACTCCCTTGGGCCAATTCGAGTATTTGGTCATGCCTTTTGGATTAACTAATGCCCCTGCATGTTTTCAGGCTTTGGTGAACGATGTTCTCAGAGACTTTCTAAATGTGTTCGTGTTCGTCTACATAGATGATATTCTAATCTACTCCAAGGATCTTTCTGAGCATAAGAGACATGTCCGCCTGGTTCTTCAGAGACTGCTGGAGAACAAACTTTTTGTAAAGGCTGAGAAATGTGAGTTTCACCAATCTTCAGTTACCTTTTTGGGGTTTGTGCTCGAGGGCGGGCAGGTTAAGCCTTCCGAAGAAAAAATAAAAGCAGTTTTGGAGTGGCCTGTTCCAGAAAACCGCAACCAGTTACAAAGATTTTTGGGTTTCGCTAATTTCTACCAGAGGTTTATCAGAAATTACAGCCAAACCGCCCTCCCATTAACTGCCTTGACATCATCCAAGAGAGTCTTCCAATGGTCCTCCGAGGCACAATTTGCATTTGACAAACTCAAAACCTTGTTTTCCAGAGCTCCAGTGCTGATCCAACCAGATCCATCTAAACAATTCATCCTTGAGGTTGACGCTTCTGACTCCGGCGTGGGGGCAGTCTTGTCCCAAAAACTCGACTCAGATCAACAAATCCACCCCTGTGCCTTCTTCTCACGTAAGCTCTCTCCCGCAGAACATAATTACGACGTTGGTGACCGAGAACTTTTGGCTATCAAGTTGGCCCTGGAGGAGTGGAGACACTGGCTAGAAGGAGCGGAGCATCCAGTTCTAGTGTGGACTGATCATAAAAATCTCGCCTACATCCAGTCCGCAAAACAAGCGACTCCTCGACAGTCAAGGTGGTCTCTCTTCTTTTCACGCTTTAACCTCATTATCTCCTACAGACCAGGATCAAAGAACATCAAACCCGATTCTCTCTCTCGTCTCTACGCTGTGGATCAACCCGAGTCACCTCAACCTGTCCTCCCTGCCTCATGTACTGTTGGAATGGTCACCTGGGAGATCTCTGATTTAATCAACGCTGCTCTGGCCACGGAACCTGATCCAGGTAATGGTCCACCTAATCGAACCTATGTCCCTCGTCTGTCAGGTCTCGCCTCATCCAATGGATGCATTCCGCAAAATTCTCCGCTCATCCGGGGGTAAGCCAAACAGTTTATCTGATCTCAAGACGTTTTTGGTGGCCCACTCTTCATGGAGATGTTAAAGAATACGTATCGGCCTGCTCCACCTGTGCACGGAACAAGGCCTCACATCAAGCACCCTCTGGTTTGCTGCAACCTCTCCCTGTGCCCACACGTCCATGGTCCCACATTGCTATTGATTTCGTCACTGGTCTCCCTGATTCTCGAGGTATGTCCACAATTTTCACCATCGTAGATCGATTCTCCAAGTCCTGTCACCTGATCCCTCTCAGAAAGCTTCCTACGGCCTTCCAAACCGCTCAACTGCTGATAAAGCACGTCTTCCGTCTCCATGGAATTCCACAGGACATCCTCTCAGATCGTGGACCCCAATTCATCTCACAGGTTTGGAAGGCCTTCTGCTCTGCTCTCAATTGCAAAGTTTCACTAACCTCTGGCTATCATCCCCAGTCCAACGGTCAAACTGAGAGGATGAATCAGCACCTCGAATCCACCCTCAGATGTCTCACTTCGAACAACCCCACCGATTGGAGCCTGTATCTCACCTGGATAGAATACGCTCACAACTCACTCAAGTCTGCTTCTGCCGGTCAATCCCCCTTCCAGGTCAGTCTCGGCTATCAACCACCTCTATTCCCCGCAGATGAGAGAGAGATATCGGTAAAATCAGTCAATCACCACATCCGTCGCTGCCAGCGCATTTGGAGAGAGACCATCAACACACTCAACCGCTCCTCCGAGACCACCAAGAAGTTCGCTGACTCCAAGAGACGCCCAGCCCCCGAGTACTCTGTTGGACAGGAAGTCTGGCTGTCCACCCGGGACATTCCCCTCAAGGGGATGTCCCGCAAGTTGTCTCCTAAGTTCATCGGTCCATACAAGATCATCCAAGTCATCAATACCTCCGCCATCCGTCTTCAACTTCCCCCGACACTCCGAATTCATCCCACGTTCCACGTCTCCCAGGTAAAACCCGTAATTTCAAGTCCCCTTTGCCCTCCGTCCGACTCCCCTCCACCCGCCCTGGAAGTTGATGGACATCCGGCCTTCACCGTCCGCCGGATCGTGGACTCCCGTCGGCGAGGTCGCGGCTGGCAGTACCTCGTCGACTGGGAGGGCTACGGTCCGGAGGACCGACAGTGGGTTCCTGGTTCCTATATCCTCGATCCTTCACTCATCGAGGAGTATGAGCGCTCCCTCCCATCAACTTCTTCCGCACCGCCAAGAGGCGGTCGTTGAGGGGGGGTACTGTTGGGAGCTGGAGAAATACCAACTTTCTACAGCAGAGTCCGCCCTGGATCCTCTCAGCTGAGCTGTCTGCGCACCTGCTGCTGATCATCTCATCTGGAGGACCAGACTACATAAGCTGTCTTCAGACCTTGCCTCGACGCCGCAGTGTCTTGATCAGTTGGTTAGCACCTAAGCCATAGATCCTCTGAGAACCAAGTTATCTCTGAGTCCTGTTTGGATTCTAACCCTTTTTGTCTCTGCTTCCAGGTTACCTGTTTTTCTCCTGTGAAGCTCTGGAAGAGCTTAACCTGCCGAGCCTACCCTCCGAGCCAAACCTGAAGACTCACACTCTGGATTTCCAAGCAGCTCTGGATACCGAGCTGAAAACTCAAGCCAAGGTCAAATTCATCTCTAGAACTAAGACGCTGAAACAGCTTACGGACTCTGCAAAACCAAGTCATCTCTGGACCCAACAGTTCCGCTCCCAAAGCCACTTCTACGCACCTCAAGGTACAAACCTGAACACAACCAAGATCAATCCCAACCAAGCCTCCGCTAACAGTACTGTCTCTCTCACAGACTCCAGTGAACCAGTCCCAGACCAGAACCAGTTCAACTGTTCATTCATTCATGTTTGTTCCTCAATAAACTGTTTAAAACTTTCCCTCTGAGTCGTCAGTGTTCTGCATTTTGGGCCTCTCTGTTTACCCATCATGACATGTATGTATGTATGTATATATATATATATATATATATATATATATATATATATATATATATATATATATATATATATATATATATATACATACATGTGTGAGTATGTATGTGTATAAAATCACCTGAACAAAAAAAAAAAATGGGATTGGAAAAAAAGATTTCTAGAACAAAAAATGTTTGACAAAAAATATTTTATTGTTAATAAAATCAATAAATGAAAAAATCTTAAGGTAAAAAAACAACAAAAAAGCTGAAAATGTATTCTTGAAATCAATTTTTTAAATATTTATGGCAGATTTTTGATAGCTTTATCTTTATCAGTACTAATTCATCTGATTTTGAATGTAACTGCTCCATAGTTCTTAACAGGACCTCACTAATACACTGACATTACTAAAGGGTGAGCCTGCCATTGGTCAGGATGGGTGATCATCTTCTTGATGGGGAAAAAGCAGAACCCACCGCCTATGGAAGAAAAACTCTCATTGGAATCTTTTTTTTAAACACTGAATTTTTATCTGGTAAAAATTTGCCTGAAAAAAGTTTGACTGCAAACCCTTTTAGTGAACTCCAGCCAAAGCCATCTACCCTCCATGCAGTTCAGCAGCTTCTCGCCAATGAAATTAGCTCATTTGGTCACGTGACACAACAGTTGGATGAATGAGGAGTTTTTCCTTTTTAAAAAGATATGAATACAAAACGTCAGGTAGCTACTAATAGACGTCCATCAGATTTTTCCATCTAATGGGACTGGGTGAAATAACTGAGCCGATCACAGATAGTGGGGCACCCCCGTCTGCCAAGGCTTTTGGTTTGATCCGGAAGAAGCGGCCGACGGCAAACTCACTTTTTTTCCTGACAAAATGAGGCAATTTCATTGGTTAGAATCTGTATGACTGCATTGAGTGTTGATTGCTTTGGCTTGAGTTCACCAAAAGGTCGACAAATTTGGAGTCAAACGTTTTGAAGGGGAATTTTTTACAGCTGAATTTTCACCACATGAAAATTAATTGTAAGGAATTCGATGTGTAAAAAACAAACAAAAATCAGTGTTTAAAATTTGGTGTAAAAAAAAAAAAGCCAGATTCCAATGAGACTCTTTCTTCCATAAGCGCCCATCGTATGAGGGGGTGAAGGTTGTTTTACGTTTAAATGGCACCATAGACAATAAGAGCCACTGACTCTCTGTAAATTCAACTGAACAGTAAGGACTGATAAAATAGTTCTGAAAGGTCAGGCCTCTGTCAAGCTGACTGGACTTCCACAAAGCCGCGTATTAAGCATGTTTAGTATTTGAAGGCACTATATATGTGTGCTTCTATGTATGGAGAGACAAGCAGAGATGCAGCAGAGAGCAGAGCCTCTGCCAGTGACATACCCCGTGTTCAGGTATAGAGCGCAAGCGGTCAGCGGGCCAGTCCACCTCTGGTATTGGTGATCCTGAACCATTGCAGATCACCGTAACTTGACCACCTTCAACAACTATTATGTTGCTGTGACTGACGCTGACAACCGGCAGGTCTGGAACAGAGAAGCAGAGGTTGTTCATGTGCTAGCTGGCCAATGTCCGCCGTTCAATGCTCATTTTCAAAACTACAGTGGTGATCAGCAGTTAAACATCCCCCTTCATGGTAATGGACAGTTTATTTAAGCCTTTTCAGTTCTTAAAGGAAAAGTCAGCTCATATTCAGAATTCAAACTTCAGAAAGTTCTTTAAATATGAAATTATTCCATCCTGTTCAATAAATAATCAGCGTTTTTAATTCAGAGTAATTTTCATTTGAATGTGCTTTACTGGAGGCATCCATGTTTGGATATTTTTGGATATTATTCCTATAAAACGCTGCTTCTAACCACAGTTGGTGACATTCATGTCCATCAGAAGAATTTCAGCGTCTCCAGTGGAGCAGGTAAGCTGTTGGTTGCTAAGGCCGGCCCGTCCGCTCTGCTGCCACAGCTGAAGCCAGCGGATCTCACAGCCACAGGGAAACACCACCTCCTCCATATGCCTGCACACACAAGAGATAACGGAGCTAGTAGCCTCCAAACCAGGGGCGGATTTAGGAAATGTGGGGCCCTAGGCAGAGACAAACAGGGGGTCCTCTGAAATGAAAAGACAGCACATAAAACAGACCCATTCTACAGATAGAGAAATGTTAATAGAATAGACATCCATTATCTGTTCTAGGTTTTGTCCCTCTCTTCTTGTCCCTTTTCTTCTTGTTTTCCTCTCTATGTTTTGTACTCAGCTGACTTTTCATGCTGTCTCTAAAGGAATGAAAGATTTTTTCCAAGCACTAAGCTCACTTAGCTGATTGCTCCTTCCTGTGTTTCCAAAAAGGCCAAAGTAAATAACCCAGTCCTTCTTTTCACTGTAGACAAGCCACGATCTGCTTATCTGTTCTCCATTTTTCATTTGGATGAAATAATAGCTGCATGAATTATGACAGCAGACAAGATAGAGGAGAGCAGGAGGCGGGGTTACCAATCTACGTGCTCTGGAGAGCAGAGTTCGCTGCTTTTAGATGTCTCCAAAGTCTCCAGTAGCAGACTTAGGGCCCTAGGCAGCTGCCTAATATTGCCTCATGGTAAATTCCCCCCCTTCTCCAAACCCCTCAGTCAGCTCTGTCAGAGGTGGTCTATGGAGGACAGTGAAGAAAGAGTAAGCGCTGAAGGCAGTGGTGCACACTGGAATTGCAGGGTTTGTTAATAAAGCCTTAAATAGAAGTGTTTTCATGTTTTCCCCCAAACTGTAGCCTGATCTCAGCCTCTCTCTCTAAAAGTCTCCCAGTGAACTGTTATGCTACGTTCACACCTAACGCTGTTTGGGCAGCAGAAGCAGCCGCTTTACAAGCAAAGTCTACGGTTGACAGGCATAAAGATGCATCAAAAGGTCCTGCAGCCAGTGGCAGCTCCAGAAATGTTTCATGTGGGGGGGCAGATGGGGCCACTAAAAATCTTTGGGTGGCCATTGAAACTAAAAGCCATAAGATCTAGCTTTTAATCTAGTACTGCGATAAACATGATTTAAGTAAACACCTACTCATATCTTGGTTTATTGTGGGATTTTTAATGTTACGTCGCTAGTTGTGCATAACGGGATAAAATGCTAAACTGATGCTACTACAATTTCCAATGGCCAATGCCACCCCTGGCCACTCCCTGGTAGCGCCACTGCCTGCAGCTCTTCTAGAGCAGCAGGAGCAGCCCGTCTTGAGTCATCTGAGCAGCTGAAGCTTCCTGAGCATCTGAGGTCATTTTAAGAGTTCGAGTTCGAATCAGGCCTGCGATCCTTTGATCCTTTGATGCATGTCTCTCACCCCCCCCCACCCCTTTCCTGTCAGCCTACTGTCGAAAAAATGAGCCACTAGTGTTGTAATAACTAAAAAAAAAAGTATATATAATTCAGCCATTTAATTCCACACTCCTTAGCAATTGGTGGCATATATGCAACATTAGGTGTTTGTATCTTAGTAGTAAAATTGTTTTTAAATTGTCTATATTGGTTCACACCAAACTCAGTTAAAAGGACCCTTTTGAAAGTGATAAGTGTTGGGATCCGGAGGCTTGCCCACCAGAGGGCGCCAAGGATTCCTTCCTGGGGTTTGTTTTTCTGTTTGGTTTCTGGGTTCTGTCTGCCTTTCTCCTACAGAGGGCGTTCTAGGTCTCCTGAAGTTGGAACTGACTTCACCAGCTGTTTCTCATCTGCTCATCAGGAGACCAGGATATAAGCAGCGGCAGGACTACACTCCAGCGCCAGAGTGTTAAGCCAGTTATGGTTAGCAAGCCTGAGCCAACCAGCCTGTCTGATTCTCTGACTCCCCTGAAAACCTGAACTTGAACCTGATCAGTTTTTGTCTTCTCTGCTTCTTAGGAAGAGACCTGACTGAACCCTGGAACTCTGGAAGAGTTTCTCTGCTGAAATCTGCCTGCCAGCTCTCAGGAGCTCATCTGAAGGATCTAACTGTCTGGACCTGCCTGCCCGCTCTCAAGAAGAGGATCGGAAAAAACTCTCGACCTGAACACTGATAAGTCTGAAGTCGAGCCCTGCCGTTGTTTAGCCCTCTGCCAACTACTAGCCTCTGGACCCTCCTGGTTCCCTCCCTCTGCTGCAAGCCTGAAACACGACACAGAGAACCCTGTGTGACCAGTCCCGGATCTGTTTCCCAGCATCTGTATATTAATATTGTCTTTGTTTTAATAAACAGTCAAACTTTTCATCTGACTCCGTGTGTGTTCTGCATATGGGTTAGGAACCTAATCCCATCATGACAATAAGCAGTTAATGATGTCAGAGTTAAACAATCTACAGTAGCAGCCATTCAAAATGGCCCTTCCCTGTCAAACGGTCGCCAACTTCCAGCCACTGGAGTGACCCGCCCTTCAGTACATTTTTACTGACTCCACCCTTTCACTTACAGGGTCTGACCAGGAGATGGCGCTTCTCTTCAGATCTTAATGTCCACAAATCATGATGGAAAAAAAATATTTCAGTACAAAGATTGATGTTTAAAAATGAATCTAAGGGGACCGGCCAAGGGCCATTCAAGGACAGAGAGGAAGTTTGAATGGCTACTTCTACAATTGTTGTATTTCAAGGGAAAAATTTCTCCGACATCTTTGTTTCTAATAGTCCGAATTTGTTGAAATGCAGGCAGAGGATTTCTCTCCTGTCCTCTTCGTTGTTTCTAAGATCACAAATGATTTTTTTCCGGCATTTAGGCAATTTAAGACTTATTTTATGGACCTTTGAGTCATTTATTCTTTTATTATTCCAAAGCTGACTAGAGTAGTAACCTTCATCTACATACTGTTGGAAGTTCTGAATTTATTCCAGGGATGAACCCCAATCACCCACTTACTTTTGTCTGAACTTATTCCAAACAACGGTATGATTTAATTAGAATAGAATAGAAAAGAAAATCCCTTTATTATCCCAAAATGTGGAAATTCTGGGAAATTATCAAATACTTTCTGTTTCTTTAAGGAAATAAAACTTTTTAAGGTTTGAAGCATAATTTTGACCATGTGTGGATCAGACTGCTGGTCTGTGCTCTGTTAGCAAACCAGGCAGAAGCACTGGAAGACCACTATAGCGTAGATAACTCTAGAGAGTATTGGTAATGTGAGCTAACAGCAGTTTATTGAGGACAAATCCAAGACTTTACTTACAGTTCTGAGAGCTGCAGATATTCAAAGACCTGCCAGGACAACGTCTTCAACATATAGTTCCTGGACAGATTTCTGATGGAGGCATTGAGAAAAGAGACAAGAAGAAATTAAATCTACATGGGAGGGGGAGAATCAGCTATGAATGGATTAGAATTTTATCTAAAGTGGTCAAACAAAAAAAGAGCATAAATCTGATTTTTAAAGGAAAAGTCCGCTCATATTTAGAATTCAAACTTCTGAAAGTTCTTTAAATATAAAATTATTCCATCCTGTTCAATAAATGATCAGTGTTTTTAATTGAGAGTAATTTTCATGTGAATGTGCTTTACTGGAGGCATCCATGTTTGTCAAAGAACACTACTGCCACCTACTGGTTTGTGACGTCACGTTGCGGTATCGGCTGTTGATCAAGTCCCAGTGCTGTATCTGGTGTTTGTCACAACGCGCTATTATCCAAGACATCTTGAAAACATTCTTCTTCCAAATGTTGGCTACATATCACGTGTTTTTTCTCTGGCCAGAAGTTCGATGGCAAATCCTCCCTCTTCAAGTTGGCGATCCAACGACCAACCCGTCCGTGGAGGATCAGGAATCAGAAAGGTGAAATAACTCTTTTTTTTTTTTTTTTTTCACTTTTACCCGATGTATTCTAACATCCAGCTGCCATGCACGCGGTCATTGTCAGTTTCACTATAGCTCTGGTGAATTTCAATGGTGAAGTCCTCTGGAAATCTTCAATAATTGTTTTTGATTGCAGATATTTCTAGTAGTTCCCATTGATTCTGCTTGTAAAGCGGGGAGAATGGCGCTAGGCTTACCGCACCGTGACATCACTGCTGGAAGATGGCAGGAGGGAGGGGTTACTATATTTGGGCTAAAATGGCCGCTCCCAGACTCAGTGATCGCAACGAAAATGATTGCTTTTATTTTTTTACTGATTAACACAAAATTCATTAAATATGTCAGGACTCCAGTATTTGTGTTTGTCTGTTTGACTTGTTTTTTGTGTTTCTCCCTTCCACCACCAGGAGGCGCCTGGCTCTGGTTCGCCTCCTCACACACCTGCGAACGGTTGCCTCATCACCAGACTGCTCTTAAGCTGCTGGTTGCTACTACCTCGACGCCAGAGTGTTTGTCAGTTTGGAGTACTCTAGCCAAGCCTTGTTTATTCTGAGCCTAATCTGAGTTTTTGCATTTCAAGTTTTTGTTCTCTAGCCAAGCTGAGATCATATTGAGTTTGACTTAGTGCTTGTCTCCCTGAGATTCAACTCTGTTTGTTTTTGCCTTTCGGCAGGAAGCCTTCCTGCAAACTGGACCGTTCCGGACCGCTTCTTCCAAGTGGGATCAACTGAGTCTTACACTGAGCGACGGATTCCAAACAAGAGGTTTGGATCCAGCCCCTTTGAGAACTCTCTCTGAGTAAGGAAGTCATCTTCACCACGACCCGTTCAAGTACCACAGGAAAACTGAGTTGCAACCAGCGGCTGCATCATTCCACTTCGTCCGAGTTCTGGGTAAACCCTGTTCCGCCCTCCACCGAATCAGACAAACTCTGGAAGACCAACACACAGACTGGAGTCTACGTGTCTCTTCTTCTCTGGAAACGTGAGTGGCATCAAATCCTTTCCTTCAAGATTAACAACTCCAATTTCTCACTGAGCCTGAACCTAACAGTCTGTCTTCCCCTCGCCTTCCAGTTTCCGGCTGAGCAGAGTTTGGAGGAACTCTGCACCGAACTCAAAATACTCTTCAATAAAACCCATTGAACTTTTACTCTGTTTCTCTCTGTTTGGCTTTACTGCATGTGGGTCCGAGCCTTAGATAAAATCATGACAAAATAAACGCAAACTTATTAGTTTTAGGTATAGATAATGATCCAGTGATTATTTCTTGCTGATCGGACTTTTCCTTTAAAAATAAAAAACTAAACTGTTACCATCAGGATAAATGCCTCCTAGGTAAAAAATTTCAGCTTTGGACCCCATTGACCTCCTGCTGGAACAATACATGACAGCAACAGAATAAAAAAAATGAAGAAGCCCTTCTACTTAAAGAACTTAAAGAAATGCTGACGCTGCAGGAAAAGGAATCCTGGAAGTCCAAAGGAACAGCAGAGAGATGGATAGATGGAGGTTCTTCAGGCAGCTGACCTTCCCAACATCCAAGCTGCTGTGTCCTTTGTCCTCAGCATCCCATCTTCCACTGGTTTCGTAGGGAGGATTTTCTCCTTACTGAAGAAGAAATGGCCTGATGTTCGGAACATATGATCCACTGAATGAATTAAAGGAATAGTACACCCAAAACATGATTAGCTTTCATTTTCTACTCACCCCCATGCTGAACAACACTCTGGAGTACTTTTTTGATATCTCAAATGCATCTGGAGATCTGGGAGGCTTCTTGCTGTCTGCTGACATTCAAATAATGGAGGTCTTTGGTGCCCGAGGCAGAAAGGTCCATAAAAGTCCACAAAAAACGTGTCAATATTCCTCCATACTGCTCGTCCAATGTATTCCAAGTGTCCTGAGTGGGTAGCATCCATAATTTACTCGAAACTAAGTCATTTAGAATGTTTTTAGAGCATAAACAGTAGTGTATAGGATTTCCTAAAAGCGCGCGCCTGCGCGTTCATGACGCTACGGAAGCCGGCAGACCAAACCAGATGAAAGTGCGCATTCAGCGTCTGCTCTGCCGATAATGCAAGCGTAGAAGAAGAAATGTGCTGTTTACCTGTGCAAAGAAAGAAACAACGAAAGAAAAATGTCTGAGGAATTCAGTGTTGAGGAAGAGCATGAGTTCTTTGCCGAGCTGAATGCGCTGGTTTGGTCTGCCGCGGTTTCCGTAGACTCGTGAACGCCCTTTTAGGAAATCCTATACACTACTGTTTATGCTCTAAAAACATTCTAAATGACTTAGTTTCGAGTAAATTATGGACGCTACCCACTCAGGACACTTGGAATACATTGGACGAGCAGTATGGAGGAATATTGACACGTTTTTTGTGGACTTTTATGGACCTTTCTGTCTCGGGCACCATAGACCTCCATTATTTGAATGTCAGCAGACAGCAAGAAGCCTCCCAGATCTCCAGATGCATTTGAGATATCAAAAAAGTACTCCAGAGTGTTGTTCAGCATGGGGGTGAGTAGAAAATGAAGGCTAATCATGTTTGGGTGTACTATTCCTTTAAAGCTGAGCTCATTGACAGCTTCAATTATGAACCGTCTTGATCAGAGTTTTACTCTGCAGCACTCAAAGACAAACAACTTCTCACTGCTGCAAGAGCTCAGAGGAAATACAAGTGGAAAAATTCGGCTATCGCCACCTTATGTGGCATTGAGCTAATGATTTTCTTGTTCTGTTTTATAACTGTAGCCTACAGTCATTGCATTTAAGGCACAAATATGTTTACAAGTTTGCACAAGTTCGCTATTGCACCAAAAATGAGCACTGTTTATTTTATTATCAGGACAGGCTTGTGTTTAAGATACTTATTTTATTCAGCAAAGTTTGTTATTTTGGATTAAAGTAAATTGCTGGATAACAACTTGTTTTCCATGTGTTCATGCGGCTCACAGATATGCATCTAATTCAATGCAGATTTAAGTCAAATAGTTAAATAAATAATAATTTCGTACACAAAGGGGGGGCAGAAAAAAAAAATCACCTCGCCAGGAGGGGTAAAGGCAATCAGGTCAGCTGGGACGTACAGCAGGTGACCCTTTTTTTTTCAGGGAGTTGGCAACCATAGGGTTAAGATTGACAGTAACTTCTTCCTGGTAGTTGTGGTGATATTTATGGGATGAATCATTTGATGCCTGATGATGTTAATGTTTAGGACCTCCTGCCAGTAGGACAACCTTAGTCATGCTCCATGTTTTTCCAGGCAGGACTGTCTGCATGTTTTAAACCTCATAGTTCTGGGTGTAATAGAAGAAAATACAAACGTTCCTGGCACAGAAAAAAAGTTAGTTTTACTCCAAGGCTTCAGATGCCAATGTGTGGACTCACATGTAGCGCAGGCTGGGGTTTCTGGAGAAAGCCTGTGGATGGAGGGTTTGCAGGCCGCTCCGGGTTATGGTTCTTTTAGAAACACATTCAGAGAAAGAAGAACAGAAAACATCAGTACAGAAGACAGAGAGAGTTAACTGCAGAGTAGGAAAAGCATTTGATGAAAATGTTGAAGAGATTCTGTCAGAGGGAGGCAGTAGGTTCGTGCAGCACAGACGAGATGGATCACAGCAGATTCTAAAACAAGAACATTTTAATGCGACACTACAACAGATATAACTTGTGCAATGTATATTTTGCAATTTACCGTTTGATACCCTGTGCAATAACTTTATATTTGATGCGCAGTGCAATAAATATATAAATATATATATATATATATATATATATATATATATATCCATCCATATAAATACCTGTTTAAACACCCTGTGCAATAACCCTGTAAAATAATCCTACTATTCAAAAAACATAAAATAAAATAAAAAAGCTGTCATATGTGGACACGCTGTATATCCTGTATATATCCCATGCACCTTTTTCTTTATTTGGCACCTTCCTCTTGACTATTTGAGCCGATGTAAGGAGTATTTCTCCACTGTGAGGCAATCAATCAATCAATTTATATATCAAGTTTTTAAAAAGTTGGCCAAAAAAACATTAAAATTTTTCTTTGTCTTTTAACTGGAACTCTAAAAGTGTAAAATCCCTGGCTTTACGTTAAGAAGAAAACAAAGCACTTCGCACAAATGGAGCACAAACAGTATCTGCAAAGTATTTTGCAGATTTCCCACATCAATATTTTCTATCAAGCCAATAACTTTTCATTTAAGTGATTATTACATTTATACTGCTGTTAAAATGACCGAATGCTTCATGTGGATATATTTATATAAGTATGTAGCCAATATTTGCCACTGAAAACATACACTCACAGGCCACTTTATTAGGTACACCTGTCCAACTGCTCGTTAACACTTAATTTCTAAGCAGCCAATCACATAGCGGCAACTCAGTGCATTTAGGCATGCAGACATGGTCAAGACAATCTCCTGCAGTTCAAACCGAGCATCAGTATGGGGAAGTAAGGTGATTGGAGTGACTTTGAACGTGGCATGATTGTTGGTACCAAAATGGCTGGTCTGAGTATTTCAGAAACTGCTGATCTACTGGGATTTTCACGCACAACCATCTCTAGGGTTTACAGAGAATGGTCCGAAAAAGAAAAAACATCCAGTGAGCGGCAGTTCTGTGGGCGGAAATGCCTTGTTGATGCCAGAGGTCAGAGGAGAATGGCCAGACTGGTTCGAGCTGATAGAAGGGCAACAGTGGCTACGTTTACATGGACACAACTAATCGGATTGAAGGCCTGATCAGATCAAAAATGTTTCATGTAAACATGTCAGACTGAAGATTCTAATCCGATTCGGTCCGATCGGATCTAAATTTAATTCCGAAAGAGAGAGGTGGTTTTTGCCGATCGCCATTCCGATTGGCGTCCATGTAAACACCCATTCGGATCTTAAGAGTAAAATAATCTTCACTGCGCATGTGTGCGACGTCAGCGTGACGTTTTTCCGCCTTGTCAACAACAGGAAACCACCGGTCACTCTCGCTCTTGTTCAGAACAACATGGCGGGAGGAGTCTAGGAACGCCGACTTATACACTCAAGTTCATTTAAAGCTGCAGGAAGCAGGAATTTATCCTCCTCCTCTGCCTCTTCTTCCTCTCCACAGCCCACTCGCTCTCCCACCCCGGTTCAATCGCTCATTCTCTACATTTTCTCTCGGACATTTCGCTGCCAAGCGCTTTTTTCCTCCTCTCTCCTTTTTTCTTTCCGCTCGCTCCGAGCGCATCGTTTGTCAGGCCTCCCAAAAACCAGACGCAGACAGAACTGCCAAGTTTGGCAGGAAGTTCTGCGCATGCTTAAAAGATTTAATCTGATCCAACGCTTGGTACATGTATACACACGTCATGATCGGATCATTTCATTTAGTGTCCATGTAAACGGAGATTTTGAATTTCCGATCAACCAAGGTTTGGATCGGATCGGGGAAATTTTGCGCATGTAAACGTAGCTAGTGACTCAAATAACAACCCGTTACAACCAAGGTGGGCAGAAGAGCATCTCTGACGTCGAACTTTGAGGCAGATGGGCTACAGCAGCAGAAGACCACACCGGGTGCCACTCCTTTCAGCTAAGAACAGGAAACTGAGGCTACAATTTGCACAAGCTCATCGAAATTGGACAATAGAAGATTGGAAAAACGTTGCCTGGTCTGATGAGTCTCGATTTCTGCTGCGACATTCGGATGGTAGGGTCAGAATTTGGCGTCTACAACATGAAAGCATGGATCCATCCTGCCTTGTATCAACGGTTCAGGCTGGTGGTGGTGGTGTCATGGTGTGGGGAATATTTTCTTGGCACTCTTTGGGCCCCTTGGTACCAATTGAGCATCATTGCAACGCCACAGCCTACCTGAGTATTGTTGCTGACCATGTCCATCCCTTTATGACCACAATGTACCCAACTTCTGATGGCTACTTTCAGCAGGATAATGCGCCATGTCATAAAGCTGGAATCATCTCAGACTGGTTTCTTGAACATGACAATGAGTTCACTGTACTCAAATGGCCTCCACAGTCACCAGATCTCAATCCAATAGAGCATCTTTGGGATGTGGTGGAACGGGAGATTCGCCTCATGGATGTGCAGCCGACAAATCTGCGGCAACTGTGTGATGCCATCATGTCAATATGAACCAAACTCCCTGAGGAATGCTTCCAGCACCTTGTTGAATCTATGCCACGAAGAATTGAGGCAGTTCTGAAGGCAAAAGGGGGTCCAACCCGTTACTAGCATGGGGTACCTAATAAAGTGGCCGGTGAGTGTATACTGTGATGCATAATACTGAAGCAGTAGGTGCCTCAGTCCAGCTAATGACCTCATCCTGTAACGATCTTGATTCTGTTGGTGTGCCTGGATTCTATTGGTGTGCCTGGATTCATTTAGGTTTCTTAGGTTTTTCTTTGTCTGTCCTCTGTTGCCCCCTTGTGTTTCTTTTCCCTTGGCTTCCTCATCAGCTCTAGTCACACCTGCTCCTTATCAGCTCTTAGTCCTGCCTTTGTTCAGGCAGCCATAAATGCACTCCCTCTGCAGTCCCTCTTTGCTGGTTCCTCGTCTTATTTCATCCTACCCTGGCTCCTCATGACTGTTTCCCCTGATGACTCCATGGTCCTGGTTAGTGTTCAATTCTTATGTTGTTGTTTTTTTTTCTGTCATGATTTGGTTTTAAGGTTTTTGTGAGGACCCAAAAGCAGAAGCTGAGAGGCAGGGGTGAGATCTTTGAAGGTTTAATGAAAAATCTGGCAGCAAAAACAGGAATCCAAAAATCCAACTTAAAAATGTAAATCAAAACAGAAATCCAAAAAACAAACAAACATAAGAATTGAACACTAACCAGGACCATGGAGACATCAGGGGAAACAGTCACGAGGAGCCAGGGTAGGATGAACGATGAGGAACCAGCAAAGAGGGACTGCAGAGGGAGTGCATTTATGGCTGCCTGAACAAAGGCAGGACTAATGAGCTGATAAGGAGCAGGTGTGACTAGAGCTGATGAGGAAGCCAAGGGAAAAGAACACACAAGGGGGCAACAGAGGACAGACAGAAAAACCTAAGAAACCTAAATGAATCCAGACACACCAATAAAGCTAGAGAACAAGGAAAAACCTGGATGAACTAGAAACTGAAAACTTAGAGGAAAAACAACAGAACCAAGATCGTTACACATCCTGACATGGAGTCAATATCATCTACCATTCTAAGATGCTTCTTTAATGACGCCTTTACCAGGTTCTAAATATGACAAAAATGAGATAAACCACACAACAAATTCATTTGATTGGGACCATCATTAAATATTCCATCCAAAACATATTTTACATGTAGAAACCTGCAGGCAAAATATGTTCGCTTTTATTATCCTGGTGCTTGCAGTTTGTAGCACACAACTGAAAAACACTAAGATCTACTTCCAGGCATGAGGCAGCTGCTGCTGGGGATTCCCAGTGACAGCGCACCGCTGGTATGTGGGAGTCTGAGCGGCTCCCACAGAGAAATAATCTTTGAAGGCAGGATGGTAATCTGGATGAACTGACTGCACAGACCATGTTTTCAGGAGGACTTTCTCACTTCAAAATAGATTCAAACTACTTTTTACCCACTGATCACAGCTAATATAGCAAAGCTGCTCTCTGGCATTGAACACAGGAGCAGCAGAAGCATCAGACGCATCCAGACACACTCAGTGATTCACAGTATCCACCTCCCTTTGTAGAAAAGGAGAGGCTCTGTTTCGAAGAAGATGGTGCTTATGTTGGCCCCGCCCCCAAAGGGCAGACATTGACGAGAATGCTTTTTAAAAATTATTCATCATTCATTGTTTCCCTTAAACCTCAAAGAAACAATCAAAAACCTTTCCCTGCCTTTATCATTGGATAACTATCATTAAATGATTTCTATCATGATAATCTTCGTCACACGCTCGTTTTTTGTAGTTTAGTATTTTATAATTGAATAGAAACAATGTGATGCTGCATGAGAAAACATAGGTACAAACACTTCAGTACTTACAGCCGCTGTAAGCCAGGGTAGAGCTTCATATCAACATCTGTAAGCGTTGTCAGACTGGTCCAGTTCTCAATATATCTGCAGACAAACAGCCACAAGATGTGATTTAGAGCCACAGTAAAAACCTGCCTCCTGAACTCCTAACCCTGCTGAGCTCCTAAACCCGCCAAGCTCCTAAGCTCCTAAACCCCCAAGCTTCTAACCCTGCCGAGCTCCTAAGCTCCTAAACCCCCCCTAGCTCCTAACCTCGCCAAGCTCCTACGCTCCTAAACCCCCCCTAGCTCCTAACCTTGCCGAGCTCCTAAGCTCCTAACCCCCCCGAGCTCCTAACCTTGCCGAGCTCCTAAGCTCCTAAACCCCCCCTAGCTCCTAACCTCGCCAAGCTCCTACGCTCCTAAACCCCCCCTAGCTCCTAACCTCGCCAAGCTCCTACGCTCCTAAACCCCCCCTAGCTCCTAACCTCGCCAAGCTCCTACGCTCCTAAACCCCCCCTAGCTCCTAACCTCGCAGAGCTCCTAAGCTCCTAACCCCCCCAAGCTCCTAACCTTGCCGAGCTCCTAAGCTCCTAAACCCCCCTAGCTCCTAACCCCGCCGAGCTCCTAAGCTCCTAAACCCCCCAGAGCTTCTAACCCCGCCGAGCTCCTAAGCTCCTAAACCCCCCAGAGCTTCTAACCCCGCCGAGCTCCTAAGCTCCTAAACCCCCCCGAGCTTCTAACCCTGCCGAGCTCCTAAGCTCCTGAACCCCCCCTAGCTCCTAACCTCGCCGAGCTCCTAAGCTCCTAAACCCCCCCTAGCTCCTTACCCCGCCGAGCTCCTAAGCTCCTAAACCCTGCCGAGCTCCTAAGCTCCTAAACCCCCCTAGCTCCTAACCTCGCCGAGCTCCTAAGCTCCTAAACCCCCCTAGCTCCTAACCCCGCCGAGCTCCTAAGCTCCTAAACCCCCCAGAGCTTCTAACCCCGCCGAGCTCCTAAGCTCCTAAACCCCCCAGAGCTTCTAACCCCGCCGAGCTCCTAAGCTCCTAAACCCCCCCGAGCTTCTAACGCTGCCGAGCTCCTAAGCTCCTAAACCCCCTCTAGCTCCTAAGCTCCTAAACCCCCCCTAGCTCCTAACCTCGTCAAGCTCCTAAGCTCCTAAACCCCCTCTAGCTCCTAAGCTCCTAAACCCCCCCAGCTCCTAACCTTGCCGAGCTCCTAAGCTCCTAAACCCCCCCTAGCTCCTTACCCCGCCGAGCTCCTAAGCTCCTAAACCCCCCCGAGCTTCTAACCCTGCCGAGCTCCTAAGCTCCTAAACCCCCTCTAGCTCCTAAGCTCCTAAACCCCCCCTAGCTCCTAACCTCGCCGAGCTCCTAAGCTCCTAAAGTCCCCCTAACTCCTAACCTCGCCAAGCTCCTAAGCTCCTAACCCCCCCGAGCTTCTAACCCTGCCGAGCTCCTAAGCTCCTAAACCCCCTCTAGCTCCTAAGCTCCTAAACCCCCCCTAGCTCCTAACCTCGTCAAGCTCCTAAGCTCCTAAACCCCCTCTAGCTCCTAACCTTGCCGAGCTCCTAAGCTCCTAAACCCCCCCTAGCTCCTTACCCCGCCGAGCTCCTAAGCTCCTAAACCCTGCCGAGCTCCTAAGCTCCTAAACCCCCCCTAGCTCCTAACCTCGCCGAGCTCCTAAGCTCCTAAACCCCCCCGAGCTTCTAACCTCGCCAAGCTCCTAAGCTCCTAACCCCCCCCTAGCACTAACCTTGCCGAGCTCCTAAGCTCCTAACCCCCCCGTGCTACTAACCCTGCCGAGCTCCTAAACTCCTCAACCCCCTCTAGCTCCTACGCTCCTAAACCCCCCCTAGCTCCTAACCTTGCCGAGCTCCTAAGCTCCTAAACCCCCCTAGCTCCTACGCTCCTAAACCCCCCTAGCTCCTACGCTCCTAAACCCCCCTAGCTCCTAACCCCGCCGAGCTCCTAAGCTCCTAACCCCCCCCTAGCACTAACCTTGCCGAGCTCCTAAGCTCCTAAAGCCCCCCTAGCTTTTAACCCTGCCGAGCTTCTAAGCTCCTAACCCCCCCTGAGCTCCTAACCCTATCTCTAAGGGGCACTGGCCACCCCTGCAGTGGAAGCTCTTTTCAGTTGCTGGTGTTTTTAGGATTTTCACAACAAAGACTGATGTAAAGAAAATACTTTTTTTTTTTTATCAGTGTATTTGATCTTAATTTGAGAACCTTAATGAGATGGTTTGCCAATGGAATGAAGGGTTTTATGCATATGATAGGATTAGATAGGATAGTTAGATATTATGCTCTGAAAATGAGATAATAGTTTTCGTTTTTCATTTTAAATGTAAATCATTCTATTCCAATGGGAAATTATTTTACTTACTGGCTCAAAACAAGGGAAAATATACTAATTTTGAGAAAATAATTATCTGTCAGTCATGATCCAGATTTAATGACCAAAGGAAATATAGGAACATAGATGGATCATAGTCAACAGACCTCTTTCTTTAAAATGTCAGAATTAAGATCAATAAATTAAAGCTTCGAACTCAAAACTATTCAAGACATTTTGAATTGAAAGCTTCCTGGATGGAAGTGAGACGTCTTCAAACCTGGAAACAAAGCCCAGTGGATTGGTTTTAACTTTTTTGGAATGACATTCTATGAATTGTGTTCACTGAATACATTAGTGAACGGATCAGCTTTGAAGTAACGAACGTGAACTAGAGCGATGTTCACTCTGGACTATTGAGCGACACTCTCTGCTCACGTTGGCATTCAAATGATAACTCTTTTCATTGGATAACATCAGGTTTTACCGCCCTTATAACGGCAAACAGCCTAGACTCAGTGATCGCAACAAAAATTATTTTGATTTTCTTATCTTTTTTAATGCTAGATTCATTAAATCACTGCAAACTTATTAGTTTTAAGTATAAATAATGATCCATTGATTATTCCTTGCTGACCTGACTTTTCCTTTGAGTACTGCAACCTAAAGGAATTTAGAGTAAAAGGATGTGTCTTATTCTCATTTATTGTTAGTTGATAAAAAAAGAAAAAGACTCAGAACTTATTTCTTTTTGAAACTGTGATTACTTTAAGCACGACCTAAGCAGTGTTTTTGCAGAGTACATGTGCTCATTTCAGCACAAAACTAAACCAGGTTAATAAGCTCTGCTAAGTCTGAGTGAGAAAAACAAAGCAGCAGTTGGTTTTGTTTTCAGGTTCATTCCTCTCATTAAGAAGAACCCAACCCTAAAAATCTGCCTAGTTCCAGTCAGCCCTGCAGGCCTTAAGCACCGACAACATTAAACAGCATTCTGATTGATCTGGAATCTATAGGTCTGTGCATAACTGAAATACTTGGGCGTGATTAATGCATTAAAGATAAGACATATTGATTTTTTTCTTCGTTTTTATAATAGATTGCATTTTAAGTTTGACATTAGCAAAAGATTGATCCACAGTTATTGACGTGCTGTCATAATGTGTTTGCTTAAAAGCTCAGTTAGAAACACATTAACAGAAGGGCTTAACCAAGGCGGATTTAGGAAATGTGGGGCCCTGGGCAAAGACAGGCAGGGGTCCCTCTGAACTGAGAAGACAACACATAAAACAGACCCATTCTACAGATAGAGAAATGATAATAGAATAGACATCCATTATCTGTTCTAGGTTTTGTCCCTCTCCTCTTGTCTTGTTTCTTCTTGTTTTCCTCTCTATGTTTTGTACTTAGCTGACTTTTCATGCTGTCTCTAAAGGAATGAAAGATTTTTTCAAAGCACTAAGCTCACTTAGCTGATTGCTCCTTCCTGTGTTTCCAAAAAGGCCAAAGTAAATAACCCAGGCCTTCTTTTCACTGTAGACAAGCCATGATCTGCTTCTCTGTTCTCCATTTTTCATTTGGATGAAATAATAGCTGCATGAATCATGACAGCAGACAAGATAGAGGAGAGCAGGAGGCGGGGTTACCAATCTACTTGCTCTGGAGAGCAGAGTTCGCTGCTTTTAGATGTTGTCTCCAAAGTCTCCAGTAGCAGAAAAAAGTCGCTAGATTTGGCGCTAGCCGCTTTTTAGCAATCAAAGTGGTAGAGGGGTCTGAAAAGTGGCTAAATATAGCGACTAAAGAGCTAAGTTAGCAACACTGCTCTTTGCATCGTTTGTTTTCAAGTGGTTTACTGCTGTCTGTTTGGACCTTTCTGAACATGAGCAGCAAATGGACTGATCCAATATGGTGGACACTGAAGGGGGGGTGGGAGCTCAGCTTAACATATGCATTTGTGTACAGACTCATTTAACAAAAAGCCTCCTGCTCAACGGGGGCCAATATATAACTTCAAGAACAAGGTTTTTAAACAACAAACATTGCAGCATTCAGAAGATGAAAATGAGCCCAAGCTGAGGCGAACCGGGGCTCAGCTCATAGACAAGCCTTCGTTTAATACTGGAGCAAAACCAGAACCACAATGAATTCAATTCAAGGTGTTACTGTATTTATAAGAAGCGTATTAAGCCATACGTCTGGATTAAATGTAATTTATAGGCTCCGAATGAATCTAGAAATCACAGCAGACTGTATGGGATGTGTCTAAGATAAGGTAGAGAGTGGGAGAAGATCAGCTGGAAAACAGGCAATCAATGTGAAGGGAAAGCAGAAAACAGGACTCAGTCGGATCTTTATCATTTAGAAAACATGATAAGAACTCAGACTGACTGCATTTAAAGAAGCAGGAGGATGTAGAAACTGATCAGCTCCTAAACATCTGTTAGGAATCAACATTTTCCAGAATCAAAAACATCTAGGAGTGGAGCAACATAAACGTATGAATTTTACTGAAAAAATGTTTACTACAGTATGTTACAGGAATAATAAATTATAATAAGTCCAACAGATATACATATTTACGTCTGGTTACCATGCCAACTGTTAGGGGAAAAAAGTATTAAAATATGCAATCCAGTTAAATGAAAGTGATTTATGGTAATCCACTTTAATTTATCTTTGCAAAGACGAGAACAGGACAATCATAACAGTCCTTAGAGCCCTGTTCTGGTCTAGAAAAGGTTTTTCTCACTAACTTAAAGAGCTGTGAAGGTCGCTA